ATTGTTAAAAACAAACATCCTTATATATATTCAAACAGAAGATGTTATGTTTTGACCTGTCGTCGTGTAATGATTTTCATATTTTTTAAAAAAGTCATATGTAAATATAAGTTTATGATTTCGTTGTTTATCATGGACAAAAATTAAATATATTGTTTTTCTTACAGCCTAATAGTGTTTGAAACTCATATACTGACTAAACCGCATGCCAAGCTCCGTAACAAAACAATCCATGGTCAACTACGAGTAAAAAAAAAGGAATTTCGTTATTCATATAGTGGAACAGCTAATATGTAGATAATAAAAGAATATTAACAGCAAAACAGAATCATCGTGTCCTAATAGTTTTTTTTTTTTCCTAAACGAAGTAAAAAAGTTGATAAAAAGAAAAAAAGAAAGAAAGAAGAAATTAAGAATACAAGGCAACAAAACGGCACCGTTGGAGGGGGGAATATACCGAAATAGCAAAAGGAATATCTCATAGAGAGTAAGCTTATAAATGGCCGTTTCAAGACGATTCAACTCTGTCATTGTTCATTCATACGCAGCTTCAACGCTCATTCCTCTCTCTCTCTTTACATTTTCTCCACAAATAAAGGAAACTACTATAAAGACTTTTCATCTGACAATACTTATAAAAGCTTTATCAGATCGGATCCTACACAAACTCCTCCTAGTAGAAGTTTGTTTATATTTCTGTAAGTTCTTTTCTTTACATTTCCAAGTATTTTGATGCTTCTTATTGTTAGGACGTTATATCATGTTTTGGCCCCTCTTCTGCCTCTTCAGTATCTCTTGTTTTGTATCGTCGTCTTATATATGTGTCTTCTTTTCTTGTCGAGAAAATTTTGCTTTTTACCCCACATTCCTTGGATCATTATTAATTAGGAATAGTTTTTTTTCTTCTTGAAACGTATTTGTTGGATCTCATCTCCCACTTCCTAGCTAGAAGACTTCATTTTGTTTTGTTTTTTGTTAAGCGCATGAATTGATCGATGTCGATCATTCACTAATGAAAACTTTGAAAAGGGCATGCAAAATAGTATATATATTTATTTAATTTATTTCCAATATAAAGTAGGGATATGAATAGTTTCTTCATATAATAGGTGTGTCCGAAGTTTAAGACAAAACAACTCGCTGTCTCACTCTCGCTAAAGTTTGTGTAGCTCCTCCGTGTGTTCGGATTTAGTTAAGACGTCACAAGTCAGACTTTTGTTTGTAACTAGTGTAAAGACAAAACAGCGTAATAGTTTAAAAAAAAAAACTCTTGTAATTGACCTCTCATTTCTTTGTTTACGTTTAAATAATTGGTAACGTCGGTTGAAAACCCAAAAATTTAGGACTCATTTATTTGAGTTATGAGTTTCCACAAAATTATTTTATCATATTAAGTTTTAACAAAGCTTTATTAATTAATATTGAGTGGACCAGACGAAAGCTACAGTTGACTTTTACTAATCGCTTCATTATTTCCTTTTCTTGTATTAAAATAGTTTGGTTTATTTCAAATAATACATACGCATCATCATCTATACAAGAACATGAAAACTTTTCTTTTCAAGATACCACATCTAAAAAGCCATACACATGTTAATTTTCTAGAATTGGCTTTTTAAATTGTTAGTTAACTCTCTTCAAGTTTGGTCAACACTGTACTTTGTGTAGGTTGTAATTTAGAGATCAACGAAATGAGAAAAAGGTTAAATAGAACTTTTATGTTATTTTAATGCTTGATAGGGTCTAATTCTATTTGCTTTTAAGATTGCCTAACTTATTTCAAGTTCGGTAAACTACTTTATTGTTTGTAATGAATTCTTTCTTATTTTCCAAATATTCCATACTAAATGAACGATAATAAATTGAAATTTTATGCTTACTTTAATCATCGTATCTGCAAATGATTATTTTTTCCCAAAGATATGTTGGCAAGTTAAATCGATAGAAACAGTAAGTAAATACATATTATCTGTGATTTCTATTTTAAGTTAGAGATTCCCACAAATTACGTTCTGATATAAGTTAAGATTCATAGGTCGATCTTATAAAGCCAAAAAAATGTGATTAACGCCGACATATTAATTGATAAATCCTAACTGGCCGCTTATATGTACAAAGGGCACTGATAGTTCGAGTTATTCTTTTTTTTTCTTTCTTTTTGATGAAATTGCAGAGGAGAAGAATGGCAAGGGATCAGTTACAAGTGCTGAATGCACTTGACGTGGCCAAGACGCAATGGTACCATTTCACGGCGATCATTATCGCTGGAATGGGATTCTTTACCGACGCTTACGATCTCTTCTGCATCTCCCTCGTCACGAAGCTCCTCGGTCGTATATACTACCATGTGGACGGCGCAGAAAAGCCTGGGACTCTCCCTCCCAACGTCGCAGCCGCTGTCAATGGCGTTGCCTTCTGCGGAACCCTCGCTGGTCAGCTCTTTTTCGGGTGGCTCGGTGACAAGCTCGGGAGGAAGAAAGTTTACGGTATGACGTTAATGGTCATGGTCCTTTGTTCAATAGCTTCTGGTCTCTCTTTCGGACACGAGCCAAAAACTGTAATGGCCACGCTCTGTTTTTTTCGGTTTTGGCTTGGATTTGGCATCGGCGGGGACTACCCTTTATCTGCAACGATCATGTCTGAGTATGCGAACAAGAAGACTCGCGGAGCCTTTGTCTCTGCGGTTTTTGCTATGCAAGGGTTCGGTATCATGGCTGGTGGAATCTTTGCTATTATTATTTCCTCTGCTTTTGAAGCTAAGTTCCCAGCTCCTGCCTATGAGGATGATCCCTTGAAATCCACGATTCCTCAAGCGGATTTGGTATGGCGGATAATCCTGATGGTTGGTGCTATCCCAGCAGCAATGACGTATTACTCGAGATCGAAGATGCCAGAGACCGCAAGATACACAGCTTTGGTTGCTAAGGATGCAAAGCAAGCAGCTTCGGACATGTCTAAGGTTCTGCAAATGGAGATAGAGCCAGAACAGCAGAAGGTAGAACATATCTCAAAGGAGAAGTCCAAGGCGTTTTCCTTGTTATCCAAGGAATTCATGAGTCGCCATGGGCTTCACTTGCTAGGCACGACATCGACATGGTTCCTTCTCGACATCGCTTTCTACAGTCAAAACCTTTTCCAGAAAGATATTTTCAGCGCTATCGGATGGATTCCTCCTGCGAAAAGCATGAATGCGATTCAGGAGGTCTTCAAGATCGCACGAGCACAAACGCTCATCGCCTTGTGCAGTACGGTACCTGGTTATTGGTTCACAGTAGCGTTCATCGATGTCGTTGGAAGATTCGCGATTCAGATGATGGGTTTCTTCTTCATGACGGTCTTTATGTTTGCTCTGGCTATTCCTTACAACCATTGGACTCACAAGGAGAACCGTATCGGATTTGTTATCATGTACTCGTTAACATTCTTTTTCGCCAACTTTGGACCCAATGCTACAACCTTCGTTGTGCCAGCTGAGATCTTCCCAGCAAGGTTCAGATCAACCTGCCACGGTATATCTGCAGCATCAGGCAAATTAGGAGCAATGGTTGGCGCATTCGGGTTCTTGTACTTGGCTCAGAGCCCTGACAAGGACAAGACAGACGCAGGATACCCTCCAGGGATTGGGGTCAGGAACTCGCTTATTGTGCTTGGTGTGGTTAACTTCTTAGGTATTCTCTTCACTTTCTTGGTGCCTGAATCTAAAGGGAAGTCACTAGAGGAAATGTCCGGTGAAAATGAAGAAAATGAGAATAGCAACAGTGATAACAGAACGGTTCCAATAGTATAATTAGATGATATAATACGTCTTTTGTAATAATTATCTTTTTTTACTTCCTCCTTGTTTCTAGCAACTCAAGTTGTTCTTTGTATGATCCGTTGATGCCTAAATGCTAGAGAAATCAAAGTTTTCATAAACCGATTACAAATCAGAGTGTTCTTATATATTTCCTAGCTTTATAGGTTGAAGACTATTTAATTAGACTTCTAGAACCCGTGCAAGTTGTGTAGTGTGTTAAATGACAATTTGTGCGTTGTGGGGGAAGTTGTCGAGAACACAGATAATGGTTTCAATTTGCGATGTATTATGGCTTAATCCCTATAAAGAATCTTCTTATATTCGGCAAATAACATGCTCTCTTATATGAGATTTTATAAATTTAGTAGCCAATAGTCCATTAATTGTTATTTTTACGTTAGACAAAAATTTATAACAACTCATATAGGAGCATACCATTGGTCTGTAAACAGCGAGTGTCTGAGTGATATAAGTACAAAGAGTTTTGATCAGCCAGCCATGACCAAACTTGCGAATCAAGATCGATTGCAACTTATCGCAAGGAGATTGGTAAATTTTGTTAACTTTACAGCATATGAAATGCATTATATGGTAATACATTTTTTGGGATGTTAGCGAAGATGAGGTTATTTGGAACATGGTAAAACAGTTCCAAATTAAAGTATAAGTGATTTACAAATGTGTAGTTCCTCCATTGAAGTGGTATTTAGATAAATATCATTCTAATTTTATGGGATGTTTTGAAAGAAACAACTAATTTTCTTTTCTTTATGTTGTAAATGATTACAAATCTTAAAATCTATCAACAATAATAAATCCAATTTATCAAATCAATGTTACATGTTTCAGCGTATTAACAAGAATGCTACTAAAACATTATTAAACATAGTTTTTCTTACATATCATTTGTATTTGTTTCGTTAATATGTTATTTATTTCGTTATTGTTTACCATTTTTTAATATATATAAAAAAATAAAAAAAAATTTAATAATTATTACCATCTGTAAAATAGGAAATTATTTTTTAAATTACCAAAATCGGAATTAGGTTTCTCCAATTGATCTCTCTATTTATCCTGATTTTTTCACCATAAGAAAATCCAGAGGCTCTCTGCTCTTGGTTGGTTGGTAAAACGTCACTCAGGTCTTCGGATCTCATTTCGTCCGGGTATGTGTTCTACCCGCTTCTCCTCTGAAAAAATTGGACCTCTCGATCGCTAAATGATATCAATCTCAATGCTTTTTATTGTGTTCGAGTTTGAGTTTATGTATCCTACGTTCCGATACTCTTACGAGAAGCGTATTTGCAGAATCAATCTTAGCATAGGGCTTCCTATGACTCTGATCACATCCTGTGGTTGAGAGAGGAGTCTCCTTCAATTGATTATGGTCGAATTTTGAGGAGATGAGAACGAATTAGGGTAGGATATTCGCATAATGTTTAGTCCCGTATGAAGATGAAGGCTCTCCTTCGTAATTGAGCTGGAATGAGTGTTATAAGTATGCTGTTTAATGATATTTGGTGTAGTTTTGTATGAGTGAAGTTCCTGAACTAATCAAGAAGAGCATTTTCTTTTCAATCCTTGTTCTGTGGTTTTTGTGATGGTGACTGAATCTTCTAAATTGCAGTCTTTTTCTTGATTTTAGTCGAATAACGAATCGTAGTTCCAATGTTTAGTCACTTGATTTATTATACTTGACAGTATATTTTTTTCCATCTTAAGAAGTTGCATCTTTCTTGACCTCCTCTGATGTTCCATTTTTTTCTGGTTCAGGAATTTGACCTTTTGGGTGTAAGGTTTAATGGGCATTGAAGGTGTGCCCACATTTTCAAAATCTGGAAACATGGATATGATTTCAACTCCGCCAGGTTTTGTATCTAAAACATCCTTTGTGCTGAGGAATGTACGCAGAGATGAAGAAAGTTCCAGGTCAGTGTCGAGACTAGAGCAGACAACTGTTTCCGGCGCAAATGATGCAAACAGTTTCAATATGTTTCTTACAAACCGACCGTGGATCGTGCATGATCACACAGTTCCCAGCTCAGAGGCTTCAAGGCCAAAAAAATCCGAGGTCCCTTAACTATGTCTACCTATGTTCTGTCTTTCTTCCATATATTTCTTTGAGTTCATAGAGGAGATTTTTCTGGCATGTTTGCTAAGTCATGGCCACGAATAGACATTAGACTTGATTGATGTATAAGATGTTAGCTAATGCGGAAATTTTCATGTTGTGGATTCCATATCCCTGCTACCTGGTTATGGTTTTAAGGCCTGCTCTAAGTGATTTAGGATGAACACTTTGAAGCTTGATGTGCTTTTTTAGGTAGCTATACTAAGCTTTAGACTTATGAAAGTGTAGGTATCAATATGGTATGTTGAAGTCTTCCCCATTCTTTACTTAGTATGGAAAAATGCTTCTCGCAGATTCGGACAAGAAGACGACTCAAAGTTTCAGAGACTGAAGTCCTTCAGGAAGCTCCTGTGTTTAACCCAACCGAGGAGGTCAGTGTTTCTTTTACTTTGCTTTTAGGAAAGACAAATTAGGTTATTATACAGATTTACATCATCTTTGGTAAAAAAACATGTATGCTTCTAGAGGAATCATCAGGAAACATCATCTTTGATAAACAAACATATATTCCTCATCCTCTGACCTTGGAGTTACCGAATCATCAGGAATTCAGTGACACACTCTCATACATAGCAAGCTTGCGCGACAGAGCTGAGCCTTATGGAATCTGTTGTGTTGTTCCTCCTCCTTCGTGGAAACCTCCATGTCTTCTCAAGGAGATGAAAATATGGGATGATTCTACATTTGTCCCTCAAGTTCAGCTCTTTGATGGAATTCATACCGAGAACCCAAAGATTAAAAAGGAGCCTGATGTGGATAGTGATGATGCTGCATCTGAGGAGGTCAAGTTTTGTAGGATAGAACGCGGTCCTAGGCATACTTTAAAGAGCTTTAAAGACTTTGCAGATTCATACAAGAAGAGTCATTTTAACATGAAGGATGAGGTTTTGGGTTCCAAGAACCCATCTCCATCATCAAAACTAGAGGAGCTAACTGTGGCAGACATTGAAAAAGAGTATAGACAACTTTTTGAGAGTCCACTTGTTGAGATTGGGGTATGTTTAAATCAAGTCTACTGCTTTTATACTATATGACACACGCTATAATACTAACTTGCCGTGTAAATTAGGTGCTTTATGGCAATGAGCTAGACACCATGACGTTTGGCAGTGGATTTCCCTTATCTGAACCTTCTGAATCTTGCAAGTATAGAACATCAGGCTGGAATCTGAACAATATGCCTAAGCTTCCTGGTTCTCTTCTATCATTGGAAGACTGCAAATCAGTTTGTGTACCTCGCCTAAGTGTGGGAATGTGCTTGTCTTCCCAGTTCTGGGTAAGTTTTAAAGTTGATTTCAAGCTATGGTTGTCATTTTCTGAAAGCATAATATAACTTGCCAATCCAGAAATAGCAATTGCAAGCTATCACTAGAATAAATGTTGTACCATTGTAAGTTTTTAAATCAAATATGCTTGTATAATCTCATATTTGTCTCTTGGAATACTTTTTGCTGAACAGAAAACTGAAAAGGAGAGACTCTACTCTCTCTGCTATTTGCATGTGGGCGCTCCTAGAGTGTGGTATTCTGTAGCGGGATGTCATCGATCTAAGTTTAAGACTACCATGAAGAGCTTAGTCCCTGAGATGTCAGGAGAACAGCCAAAGAAGAGTCTTGATCCTGTAAGTATCTGAACACATTAAGCATCAATGCAAGTTAGTCTCAGAAAGTAATTATACAAAAGAGTGATGAACAATGATGTCACTTGTGATTTAGTTCGTGTTCAGCACAAACGATTGTGACATGCCATAGAGAGATCACATTGTATTTGGATTTATCTGTTTTAACTTGAAAGCAAAGCCTATCATAACTATTGACTCTTACTGAGCGATTAAATACTTCATTTACAAGGGAAGCAATTTATTTGGCAGGTGATGATAATGTCTCCATATCGTGTGAGCATGGAGGGTATACCAGTGACCCGCTGTGTCCAGAACCCTGGCCAGTATGTTATTTTATTTCCAGGGTCGTATTACTCTGCGTTTGATTGTGGCTTCAACTGTTTGGAGAAAGCAAATTTTGCTCCCGTGGATTGGTTGCCCCATGGGAATGTTGCTGTTCAGCTGAATCAAGAGCAGAGTAAAAAGTCGTTAATATCATATGATAAACTATTATTTAGTGGTTCAGGGGAAGCTGTGAAATGCCTTAAGGAATATGCTTTGTCTACGAAAAACCGAGCATGTTATATGAGGTGGAATAATTCATGTGGGACGGAGGGGATATTCTCCAACATTGTCAAGGTATGCTCACCACTCTTCTGTATCTGTTGTATTCCTCAGATTGTGCACTAAGCTTGTGCAGCGTGAAGGAGCTTCCGCACTACCTTTTTGCTTATATTATCTCTCTCTTTTTTGTTTGTAGTCACGGATCAAGCAGGAGCAAACTAGACGTGAATTCCTTGGGAGTTCTCTAGAATCGCAAAGAATGGACAATAGTTATGATGCTGTGAGCAAAAGGGAATGCTGTGTATGTCTTGGGGATTTATATCTTTCCGCTGTGAAATGTGCATGCTCTGCTGATCGTTACTCGTGTCTGAGCCACATGAGGAAGCTCTGTGCCTGTCCATGTGACAGAAAGAGTTTTCTCTATAGGTACACTATTGATGAGTTGAATATTCTCATAGAGGCGCTGGAAAGTAAAAAGCTCAGCTCCATGTTCAGATGGACATCCATCGAACAAAAATACTGTGGTTATCGGGCCACCACAAGTTCACAAGCCGAAGAAGTAAAAGGCATGGAAACAGATGAGGCTACACCCTGTAACATCACGAGGGCGAAAGATGCCGCAGCTGGAACTGAGGAGCAGACGATAGCAAAGGCGAGATCTATGTCCGAGATACTGAAGGTTAATGCCGGAAGCAATGATGCAACAGAGCCTTTGAGATCTTGTTCAAAGAAATCAAACAGGCCATGCGATAAAGATTCCTCTGAGGTCGTCGACACAGCAAAGAAACAGAAGCAGGGATGAATAATATCAAGAACCTTTTTTTTTTTTTTTGTTATGTTAGTTAGTCCACAATTCGTGTAAGACAGTAGTAGTAAGACACTTTTATGCTTCACAGTACAAATTTTGTTTTGGGTCTCACTAATTGTGTTTTTTTTTTATAACAATTAAAAGGAAAATGTACAGCCGTTGGATTTAATAAGTTGTGTGATCGAGATTGGTTTGACATTGTTCAACTGTTCAACAGCTGCGGTTTTGTAAAAATTGCCCACAATTTCTCCTAAAAATTAGAAAATTCAAAACTCCGAGCCGGATATTTCTCTGTCGTCGTCGTCTGTGTCAGATTTTTTACTCGGAGATATTTTCCATTTTGAGATAGTGCGGCGAATGGCGGAGACGGACGTCGGAAGCGTGAAGGGGAAGGGGAAAGGATCAGGAAATGGCTGGATTTTGCTGATCGGAGCTATAGCTGCCGTTCTTTTAGCCGTCGTGGCTGCTGTGTTTTTGAATACTCAGAATGCGTCGATTTCTGAGTTTACCGGAAAAATTTGCAATTGCCGTCAGGTTAGGTATTTCTAGTAGCTCTTTTCCTTTCTGTAAGTTTCTGAATTGGAAACTAGGATAGCACTTGAGCTCGTGGTTGTAAAATAGCTTAGGTTAGTGTTTCTTTGTAAGAAGATTAGCTTTGATTAAATCTCAGAGGAGATTACTTTGATTTGATTTGTATACTCGACTTCTCATTCATTGTTTTGATTTTGTTTTTAGGCTGAGCAGCAGAAGTACATTGGGATAGTTGAAGACTGTTGTTGCGATTACGAGACTGTGAATCGATTGAACACGGAAGTGTTGCATCCTTTGCTTCAAGATCTTGTTAAGACACCATTTTACAGATATTTCAAGGTTGGTTCATCTTTCTTTTTTCTTTTCCTTTTTTTTTATTTTCAAGTCAATAATCATTTGGAGGTGTGTGTTGTGATAGATCTGAATCCATTTGATAGGTTAAACTGTGGTGTGATTGCCCGTTTTGGCCTGATGATGGCATGTGTCGATTAAGAGACTGTAGTGTTTGTGAATGTCCTGAAAGCGAGTTCCCTGAAATATTTAAGAAGCCATTAAGCCAATACAATCCCGTTTGTCAAGAAGGGAAACCACAAGCTACTGTTGACCGTACGGTAGACACAAGAGCTTTCAGGGGTTGGACTGTCACAGACAATCCCTGGACAAGTGATGATGAAACTGACAACGGTACCTTTTCTTCACTATCTAACTCATTTTTGTTGTTCCTTATTTTTAATGTTCTATGCATTTGGTTCATATATGTCTGTCACTCAAGTTCCATATATAACTGGCTTATGAGAGAGTATGTAACAAGTATCGTTTTAAATCGTATTGTCTTAGATGCAGTTTTTTGATTACTGAATACATTATCACACAGATGAAATGACATATGTTAATCTTCGGCTAAATCCTGAACGGTACACTGGCTATATTGGCCCATCAGCTAGAAGGATATGGGATGCTATATACTCTGAGAACTGTCCCAAACGTAAGCTTCACCATTCCAAAGTGGTTCTTGTTTACTCAATTTATATGCTCTTATTCTTCAAGTGGCTGACTAATTCATGTGGCTGTCTTAACCCCTCCAATAGATACATCTGAAGAATCGTGCCAAGAAGAGAAGATCTTGTACAAATTGGTCTCTGGTATTCACTCATCTATTTCAGTCCATATCGCTTCAGATTATCTACTTGATGAAGCTACAAACTTGGTAATATCTGCCTTATGAAATTTACTTCTCTGCGATAGATATTTTTTGAGCAGAATTAATTAGAATGATCCATTGACTCCCTTTTTTGTGTGTTTCAGTGGGGTCAAAACCTGACTTTGTTGTATGATCGTGTGTTAAGATACCCAGATCGCGTCCAGAACCTATATTTCACATTTTTGTTTGTTCTTAGAGCAGTAACAAAGGTCAGTTACTAATCACTTTTCTTTGTCTAAATCCAAGGAAAGGGTCCCAGTAGTCTAGAATAGTCACAATTATCTTTCCTCTCCTTCATGATTTGTAGGCAGAAGATTACTTGGGAGAGGCTGAATATGAGACTGGTAATGTCATTGAGGACTTGAAGACCAAATCTCTGGTGAAGCAAGTAGTTAGTGACCCCAAAACCAAAGCAGCTTGTCCAGTACCATTTGATGAAGCTAAGCTCTGGAAAGGCCAACGTGGACCAGAACTGAAACAGAAAATACAAAAACAGTTCAGAAACATAAGGTCCTTTCTGAATCCTTAACTGCTTTTTTGAGCAAAAATAAGTTTTCTACTGACTAGCTAAGTTAAATACCTTTTATTCCTTGATGGCCTTGCATTGCAGTGCAATAATGGACTGTGTAGGCTGTGAGAAATGCCGTCTATGGGGAAAGCTCCAAATTCTTGGTCTCGGCACTGCATTGAAAATCCTGTTCACTGTCAATGGTGAAGACAATTTGCGACATAATGTGCGTTTCTAACACACCTGGAGACACAGTCCATTTTATAGGAACTGATGCACCATAAATTTTCTTTAATTCTCCCTTGGGAACTTATGCATTTTTCTTGTTTTTTGTAGCTCGAATTGCAAAGGAACGAAGTGATTGCACTGATGAATCTTCTCAACCGATTATCTGAATCGGTTAAATATGTTCATGACATGAGTCCTGCGGCTGAGAGAATTGCAGGACAGGCATCTCCAGGGAACAGCTTTTGGAAGAGAATAATGACATCTTTAGCGCAAATAAAAGGTAAGAAAGCATTGTAGAATTGATACACCTTAATTGAAGTGAAATAAGACTCATAGATTTTGTTTTCTCTGGTCACCACTTCTTGAAATGCAGCTGGGTATGGGAAGAGTAGCTAGATCAATGAGGTTGATCAAGCAAAGTGATGGCGGGAGAGTATGATACGTTGTTGTAAAGTAAGAGAGTATAAAATTGCAGGAAAACAGTTATACAAAGCCCTCGTTGATTGGATAGCAAACCTCGTGGAACATACTTATCTTGTTTGATGCCAACCCTAAGCTGAGACCTTTTATGCTTTACTGATTCATGTGAATTTTAGAGAATCTTACACGAACAAAAAAAAAAAGGATTGTAAGAATCTTGAAACTGATTACAGAGAATTGGAATGGATAGAAAACTTGATTGAACAGAGAATTTTGTTTCTGTATGTTACGTATCAGTTTACACAGATAATAAACTGTCTACTCGCCAAACCTAAACTACTCACCAACGCATTACCAAACTTGGATGGCTAACTTGTTATCTGCAGTGAGTTAGTATAGTTGAACTTTCAATTTCTGTAGAAAACAAAACCTGATATCTAGTGTAGAAGTTATCATGCAAACATTTGTGTTTTCAGATTGAAGATGCATATAGAAACACTAGTTGTTTTTGATATGAGTGTCACATGTAATGTAATGCAAGGAGGTTGCTAAAAAGAATGATTTTATATACGGTGTGCTTAAAACACAAATTATGAAAAAGATAAGAAAAAGAGATCAGCTTTTGCGGTTGACTTAGGCAAGAAATAGTGCGAGACATAAAGAGAACACTATAAAGGGAATCCTATCCTCCACCTCAATCAATGAGATCACTTTTTCTATTCTCTCCTCTTCTTTAATATTTTGCCTCTACGTTTGTATAAAGCTTTCTTTTCCTGTTCTTTTATATAAGCTGATGACGATACTAAACCAAAACAAATATATATTAATTCGTGAAAACCTACAAATTTTTATGTGAATCATCAATGGCCAAAGAGAATATGTACATCTAATGAAAATTGAACTATAGTATTTACTTAGAAAAAAATTCGCTATTTTATGATTCTCACTTTGGTTTGTTTACTATTTAACATTATACGTGGTTTACCAATAATTACTATGATAACGAAACAAGAGAAGAAAATGATCGATATATTTTCTGAAGTTTTTAAAGTCCGATACATTACAAATTCAGAAATAATACAGGTTGGTTAGTATGAAGATCGATATTTCATATCGTCCCAACAATTTAGAATGAGTGTGAGGATATGCAAGTCAATGTCATGGTGTGTTTTATTTATCTTCTTGAAGTAGCGTCAAAGGAGTAAGTTAAAAATTGCATGGCAAAAAGTTTTGATAAAATTTCTTTTTTATGCTCTTCTTTTTAAAAAAGTTCAGCTTTTAAATGTTCATGGCTTTCAGAAGAAAAAATAGTATTTTGCAAGAACAAAAGATGATAAAAAGAAAAAAAAAGATAGTGGGAACAGACAATATAGTTTAAAAATACACTCTTCCTACTACTATATCAGAAAATATATATTGTTCACTAATTGGTATTAATTTCATTTTCTTGCTTTTTGGCTCATACTTTTTCTCTTTTACCTACTACTTTTCCTTTTGGTGCCCTTCAAATTTTGAATCTCGATGTATCCACCAAGTTGGTAACTGCAAGCTATTTGCTACAACACCTATACACACAGCTGTCATGTCTTTCTTCTTGTGCATGATTCTTATTGTTTTTTTTCTTTGAGTGACGGCATTGTTGTAGCAGTATAGCCGTATTTGTAAATACTCCTACTGTTTCTGACCGTATACTATAGCCGTATTAGTGTGTCCCATTTCGTTCTACACAGCTGATTTTGCTATCTTGAGAAACTTTTAAGACTTAGATCGATTAAGCCATGCATATTGCTACGAGTCTTATTAGGAAAAAATTGGTTTGGTTTTTCTTTCATGAATCATGATTGAGCGTTAGGTTAGGTACATAAAAACGTAAAAGGACCAATAAGATCTAATATTGGTACATGCAGTTGGAAAGCTGAGGATACGTTTCTATATAATAATGCAAAGTTGAAGTTAACGTCAAAATCTGTGGAGCCATCCGAGAATAATGTTGGGATGATTTTTAGCTAAAACGTAAACATGTGTTTGACCCAAATGACATTGACCGCTCCGAGCCCTTCGGCTTTCTTCTTTCAAAGTGTTTTTGTTTCTTTGCGTGGCCTTATTCGACAATTCTACAAAAACCAAACACTTCGAAAATCTCTTCAAGACACCACACGACACTTCTTGGATACACAAAATTGACCTATTCGTGTTTTTATATGTTACTTAGTACTAGTAGTTTTTGAAGTCTCTAATGCAAACAAATAGTAGTCTCATTAATCGAGTTTGACAAAAGCAGATGATTCCCCCAATGAGAATATTTTTTTATCTTTTTCTAATAGTATTGTTTTTAAAATTTAGATGTCATATATATATACTTGTATATGTAACAATCTTCGACAAGCACAAATGGTCGGATAAATTGGTTTAAATGTCTAATGATAGTAAGCAAAACTGGTGTAATGTTGTAAATCTAGATAATTAGCATCAATCAGTCACTTCTGATATCCAAATGTTGATAGATGCTTCTCTAAGGTTGTGTGTGATAATCATATTTTACATCAAGCCGTATGGTTAATTATTCTAATTTTACATTAAATAAACCATTTCAGTCAATTACACGTACACGTACCGATTATTATTAAAACTTCGAAAGTAATGGAAAAGTAGCAATGACGAAGGCGCATAGATATCTACGTGACAAAATAGTAATTATTGAAGTATAGCGTTGCTGACAACACTAATTACTCATAATTATTCGTTGCACACACACTTTTTGAAAGATTATGATCACACTCGTGATGATTAATATAAGTCGTTCCAACAATACGTCCATAAGTCATAAGTCGTTTTCCTTTGTATGCATAAGCATTTATACGCAAATAAAATGAAAAGACGTTAAATTAGCGTTTTTGTTAGTGCCATGGAAACCTCATCGTAGCCTTTTGTACAGTGTGATTTTTGATTAGGTGAGAAGTTGACTTAAATAGATGATTCACGATTGTTCGGTGTTTATAGTAACAGAAGCAATCTATAATCTTCCAAGCAAAAAGCTGATTAGCGATGTGCAATAGAAATCATTGTGTGTCCTCGTCAGATAATGTGGCTCCTCATGATAGTTGTCGTCTATGATTTTTTTGATTAATAAGTGTTTTACAAACGGACGCACCACAACATTGACTTTAATTGGTATTTTAGCTATACTTTGTTCGAGATAATAATAAAGTAGACACTTTGTTTTCCCTATCCACGTTTCTACCAAAGTGCAACTTGCACATATTTTTATTGGTAGCTAATATCGAAAAATAATATCTATACTACTAAAAACGAAATAACTTTATCATTTAAAACATTAAAATAGGTGGTTGTTACTTTTATAAACATATATATTGAATATCATCAAAAGGATTAACATGTGTATTTACTTAGAAATACAAGTTGTAAAGCTAGTAAATAAAGAAAAAGGACTTGGACTCTCTCTTTAATCTTGTTTTCACAATATACTCTTCATATGTTAAGGAGTTAAGACATACTGTACATTCTTTTGACAAAATAATCATAACTCTTAAATAATTGCTTAACAATTTAACACTAACGAAGGTAACTCGGTTTCTATTTTATCAATATAGCTAAACAAATTTTCGAAACGTTAAATGAAACAAAAGATACAAATACAAGTTTAGCATTGAGTGAAATTCAATATGGAAGCTGTGATGATGAAGCATGAGAGTATAACCTTAACGTGAAAAGAGGGGTGGAGTAGAAGAGTAGTGCACGTGTGATCGCAAAACCTCATCATCACAGTGTCATGTGCCAAACAAAATCAAAACTCACCTTATTCCCCATTATTAATCGCACAAGGAGTAGTGAAATATCAAATTTGTTTCCATCATACTACTCTCTCATCATTTCATTTCATTTCCTCTCATCATACCTTCTTTTTAAAATTTTCTTCCAAACTTATTATATTCTTTTTACATGTCTACGCAAATGAATTGTTGGTAATTTTGTTTTTATAAAATGAAATATATATGCAAAAAGGTTTTGTAAATAGTAGTACTTTTGACCAAATTCCCATTTTAAATCAAGAGTTAAAAAATAACGATCGTATTTATGGAATTTTTTAATATAAATTTATGGATTTTTGTAGAAATTTGGAAAATCTTAAATATAAAATTTATGGATTAGAAAGAGCTATTGGCACTTGGTGGTATTTGACAATTAGAACAAAAGAGCTTTTCAAATACTAAAATGATTTTGTTTTTGACAAAAACATAAATGATTTTAAAAATGGCAAAAAGCAGAAGCATTAATTAACTTTGTAGATTCACTTTTCCTTTTTCTTATTGTTTTCTGAATTTATTATTAGCAAGACCCAAAACAAAGGTCAAAATAGTCGCGAATCTCAAAGCCCCCTTCCTCAATCTCTTCTCCTTCTTCTTCTCCTCCTTCTTCACTCTCAGTCTCTCTCTCTCTCTCTCTCTCTCTCTCTCTCTCTCTCTCTCACTAAAACACTTCCACTGAGAAACACTTACTACAACTCTTCAAGTCTCTCTATCTATTGCTCTACGTTTTTGGTGTGTTCTTGATTTTGCTCTGAGCATTTTTCTTGCGTCTTTGGACTCTCTACTGCTTCTAGGTTACTTAATCCGAAGAAATGGGAACTAAATGGAGGAAAATGAAACTGGCTTTGGGTTTGAATCTCTGCACGTACCTCCCAAGAACCCTAGAGGATTCACCAGCTGCTTTAAACTCTACAGAGAGATTATCTGATGTTGCTCTGCTCTCTCCTCTTAACTGGCCCATGACTCCAACTCCTTCCTCTCACGGTCTTAAATTGTCCAGAAACAGCTCTAAATCTTCAAAGGTTTGATCTTTACGAGACCCACACTCTCAATCTTTGTTTTCACTTACTTGTTTTTTTGGTTTAGTAATAATGGAGTTGACTTTTGGATATGAGTTTGTCTTCTTCTTATCTCAATTTTAAATTACTCTTGTTATGGTGTTGGTTTTTGGTATTAGTATTGTGTCTTTATGAAAAATGGAATGTTGAATTTGGTATCTTTTTTCTCTGTTGCTTATTCTGGTCATAGATTTTTGATGCTATAAAAATCCATGATCTTTCCAATGACCCTCCTGTTTGTAGCTGTAATAGAGTTAAAGATAGTTTCTTTCTCTCTATCTTGCTACTTAGAAGTACTGTTGTAGTTTGTTTCTTTGATACTTGTCTTAGAAACTGAGTATTCTGATTGTCTCTTTCCTTTTCGATTATGAACTTGTTAAACCTCCAGAACATGGACTGACACTTTCTGCTTAATCTTTTTGGTGAGCAGACATGTTCTATATGCTTGAATAAGATGAAAGAAGGAGGAGGACATGCGATTTTCACAGCGGAGTGCTCCCATTCGTTTCATTTTCACTGCATTGCGTCGAATGTGAAACACGGAAACCAAGTTTGCCCTGTGTGCCGTGCAAAGTGGAAGGAGATCCCAATGCAGCACCCAAGTTTTGATCTTCCTTATCTCTTAGCTCGACCCACTGATGCAGCTATTAGCCTTGTCCACCGCTTACCTAGATCTCGTGGAGTGATGAATCAAGGACGAGTTCTTGCTCCTGAGCCGTCTATGTTTGATGATGATGAACGTTTAGAACAGCAGCTTATATTTTCTGGGAAGAGCTATAGTGATGCTTTTGAGAGCAATCATCCTGTAAGAATGATGGACTTGAAAATATATCCTGAGGTTTCCGCCATACCACGAGCTGAATCCTGTGACAAGTTTGCTGTATTGGTGCATCTTAGAGCTGCTGCCATGGTTACTGGAAATGCTAACTCTCTCAACAATCAGATATCTTTGTATCCTCGAGCTCCAATTGATCTTGTCACGGTTCTTGACATCAGTGGTAGCATGGCTGGAACAAAACTGGCTCTACTCAAACGAGCAATGGGTTTTGTGATTCAGAACCTTGGTTCAAATGATAGGCTCTCGGTCATTGCTTTCTCTTCTACTGCTCGTCGTCTTTTCCCTTTGACCAAGATGTCTGATGCTGGAAGACACCGAGCCCTTCAAGCTGTAAACTCACTGGTTGCAAATGGCGGGACCAACATCGCTGAAGGTCTTAGGAAAGGTGTCAAGGTGATGGAAGACCGAAGAGACAAAAATCCCGTTGCTAGCATTATCCTTTTGTCTGATGGACGAGACACCTATACCATGAACCAACCTGATCCAAACTACAAGTTGCTACTCCCGTTGTCTATGCACGGTTGTGAAAGCAAGCGGTTTCAGATCCCGGTTCATTCTTTTGGTTTTGGATCAGATCACGACGCTTCACTGATGCATTCTGTTTCTGAAACCTCTGGGGGAACTTTCTCTTTCATTGAGAGCGAATCTGTGATCCAAGATGCTCTTGCTCAGTGCATTGGTGGACTTTTAAGCGTTGCAGTGCAGGAGCTACGGTTAGAAATTGATGGTATGTGCTCAGATGTTCATCTCAGCTCAATAAAAGCTGGGAGTTACCCGAGCCTTGTTACTGGTGATGGTCGGTCAGGATGTGTCAACATTGGTGATCTTTATGCCGATGAAGAGCGGGATTTCTTGATATCTATCAACATCCCAGCTCAAAAAGATGGGAAGGAGACGCCGCTTCTAAAAATGAGATGTGTTTACAAAGATCTTCTGACAAAGGAAATTGTGACCCTTCAAAGTCATGTGCTAAAGATTCAAAGACCAGAAACCGTTTCTCAAAAAGTTGTTGTGTCAATTGAAGTGGACAGGCAAAGAAACAGGTTTCTAGCTGCAGAGGCAATGGTAAAGGCGAGAGCTTTAGCAGAGGGAGAAGATTTAGCCGCAGCTGTGACCATCATCCAGAATTTCAGACTGGCTTTGGCAGAGACAGACTCAGCGAAATCGGGTGACGGGTTTTGTGTCTCTCTGGACAGAGAGCTAAAAGAAATGCAAGAAAGAATGGCGAGTAGGCATGTCTACGAGGTGTCAGGAAGAGCTTACATACTTTCTGGACTGAGTTCACACTCATGGCAAAGAGCAACAGCGAGAGGAGAATCAGGAGATGGTTCAAGCTTTGTCCAAGCGTACTACCAAACTCCATCAATGGTTGAGATGCTACACCGATCACAGGCCACGTCACATCATCATAGACTCATCCAGCCTTTGTTATCATTTGCAACTCAACCAAAGCCAAGGTGAAAGTAATCGAATGTGAAAATGTTATCAGCTATTTTTGATGTCTTTCAAAACATTTTTGTATCTTTTTTTGGGGTGGAGGGGGTTTGTTCTGTAAAGAAATAAGAAAAAATTAGGCAAAGGAGGAGAAAATATGTTAATGTAAGTTGGGGTTTTAGGGGTCTTACAAGTTGGTGATTCCCTGTTTTCGTAATTTGGTTGTTGTTTCAGTATTTCATTTTCATGTAATGTGTATATGTTGGTATGAAGTTGGGTATAAAAAGCTTTTTTTGTTGTTTACAAGTTGGAGTAATATACATGTACTTTGCCAATTTTTGTTCAAAGCAGTGATAAATCTTAGATTACGATGATTGTGTTTACTGGATCTCTTGTAATTTTCTTTATAAATGTGTTTCCTAAGCCTGATGGGCCGCAACAAATATCCAAATTGCTGGTGTAAACAGAATAATAACCGACTTTAAGTTTTTATGAACCGAACCGAACCTCAAAAAAGACAAGCTCAATTAAGACCCCTCAATTAATCGGTACAATTATTTCTGCTTCAGTCAAATCAAACCGAAACTAACAAAAAATTGTATGGTACCGTTTTGATATAATTTATCGATGTTTAATAAAACTAATAAAACTGCAAAACAGAAAAATTTCTTTCAAAAGCCAATTTATTTATTTAGAAGATATCAAAAAAGGAGAAAGCTACACATGCAAAGAAGATAAAACAAGTTTATGTTTCTAAAAATAGATCTGTCGGTTTGCTCATTTCCAGAATATTACACCAAACCCTTCAAAGAGTTTCAATCATAAGAATTAGAAGAAGAAATAAAAACAAAATTAAAGTACAACTTTGTTTTCACATATACACTTGATGATTATTTCTTCGCTTTTGATAATTATTCTTCTACAAAAAGAAAAGAAAAAACATACTCGATGCTTTAGAACTAGTTAGTAGGTTGTAATCTCAGTAAATGCAACAATTTTTTCGGTCTAATAAATGTGAATTTAGGTTTTAAATAAAATAAAAATGCGAGACGTGAACGTGATAATATATGTTTACCGTCCAATAAATGCGAGACGTGATAATCATATGCTAAAAAAAACATGAGCAATGTCACGATACCAAAGTGTACGCACTCCAAGGTGCCAACTAATACAATCAAGAGGGAGACATAATATATAGATGGGGATATATACAAAACAATACACAGTAGTATATAAGAACCAAGTGTGTGGCTTAAGTAAGGCAAGGTTGTAGAATATAATCAGAATCTACTATGGAAAAAGGTAAAGACATGGCGAGAGACGAGCAAGATCAGACAACGGCAATAGAGCCACTTAGCCCGGTTTCACGGTTGTTTGTTTCTCCGAGTCTCTATTGCTTCATCATCTTCACTTTAGGGTTTCAAACTCGATGCAACCCTTCCACCATTCTTGAAGGTGTCAAGAACACTTGGATCAAGCTCCCTCGCTTCTCTAGCAAAGTGGTATACACATACTTATATTTTTATTATTTACTTGCCTTAACTGTTACAAATATATTTCTTTGATCATGAATTAACGTTTCAGGAGATGAAGAAAAATGGAAAAGCGTTTTGGATTCCTGTTAGTGTTCGAGTAGAAGATCATGTTATTGTACCGGATCTTGATTATTCAAACATTGAAAATCCTGATCAATTTATAGAGGACTATACTTCGAACATAGCTAATATTCCAATGGACATGTCCAAACCTTTGTGGGAACTTCATTTACTTAATATAAAGACGTCAAATGCAGAATCTTTGGCTATAGGCAAATTCCATCATTCACTTGGCGATGGGATGTCTCTTATGTCTCTTCTATTAGCTAGTTCACGAAAAACATCAGATCCTGAGGCTCTTCCTACTACCGCAGCTACAAAAAGAAATGTCGGTTCCAACAATAAGCATCGGTGGTTGGTTGGAAGGCTTTGGTTCATGTTAAGAGTCATTTTCACAACTGTTATTGAAATGTTCAAATATTTGCTTACACTATGTTTTATGCGGGACACTAAAACTCCTCTCATGGGTAAAACTGGAGATAGAGTTGGATCTAAAAAGATTATCCATAGGATAATAAGCTTTGATGATGTCAAATTGGTGAAGAATACTATGGAAATGGTTTGCATCTTTAATATTTATATACTAATTAATGTTTTTCTTATGTTAGGTATTTTTTTTTGTTTTATATATTAAGAACTTACAATTTTTGTTTCTTTTGTAGAAAGTAAATGATGTTCTTCTTGGAATCACACAAGCAGGTCTCTCAAGATATTTGAAGAGAAAATCTGGTAATTTCAAAATCTTTCCCGAATTAATCTATCATTGTAATATTTCGTTACGAAAAATAAATTCAATTTTCAATCATGAAGATATGGTGGTCGAGAAGACACAAATCTTAGAAAAAATCCGTCTTCGTAGTACAGTATTTATAAATTTAAGACCAGACACAAAAATCGAGGTAAACCAATGTACCGATCATTTTCTTTTATAATTTTTCACACATCAACAAGTATCAATTGTCACTTGTAATAAATTAGAATTTGAATAGAAGAGGTTCATAATACCATATATGTATTGTAATGTAGGAACTTGCTAATATGATGGAAAAAGATTCAAAGTGTAGATGGGGAAATTTCGTGGGCTTTGTTATGTTTCCGTTGTGGATAAGATCCGAAGATGATTCGTTGGAATACGTCCGAAGAGCCAAATCTATTATGGATATTAAAAAACTCTCCATGGAATCACTTCTTTGCTATGGACTCATCAAATTTACCATGAGAATATTTGGAGAACAGGTAAAAGTATAGAAATCATTATCAAATAGTTATCCCTAATCTTGTTAATAATTAATGGTGGTCCATGATTTTATATACATTATACTAGTGTAATGATTACTCATGTACTATGCGGAAAAATGTACTAAAGAAAAATGTTTTAAATTGACAGGCAACAGAATCTCTTATTAAGAGGATATTTAATCATACAACATTGACATTTTCTAATGTGTTGGGGCCAGACGAAGAAATAAGTTTTTTTGATCATCCCATGTCTTATATCGCTGCAAGCGCATTAGGTGGACCACAAGTAAGTATCGCTAATCATGTGTTACTTGTAGATCAATTAAAATTGTTTAGGAATCACATAAAAACTTTGATGGAAGTAACTAACATTAGTTTACGTTTCTTGTTGTTCAAGGCTCTTATTATTCATTATGTAAGCTACGTAAACAAGATTGTCATCAATCTAGCCGTAGACACAACGGTTATTCCAGACCCTCATCTACTATGTGATGATTTGGTAGAATCTCTCTATATCATCAAACTTGCTGCCATGAAGAAAGGTATCCATAAAATGGAGGTTTGAGATTTGTATCACCAAAAATATAAAATGAAGTTGTATAGGTATGTTTAAAAGTGAAGTTGTATTTTCGAAAGATAAAGTGTTGTTAAATGTATTAATGTAATGAAAAATTTTCATAAATTTTATAATTTTCCATTTCGCTCCACACATACGTAAAATCTTGTTGGTTTCTTGAAAAACATATATCTACAATGTTATATACTCCCTCCATTTATTTTTATTTGATATTTAAAGTTTTTATACATAAATTAATGAAACATATAATTTCTGTATTTTTTTTTATCAAAACATGATTAATTAAAAAGAAAATATGATGTAATATATAAATGATCATAGAATATTAAAAACGTTTAATTTTTACATAAAAAGTTGAAAACATTATTTAGAATGAAACAATTTTTTATTGGCTAAAACATCAAATAAAAAAAAACGGATGGAGTATATATAGACATTCTTGAAAATGTTGTTAGTTGTGTACGATCAAGGATCACTTATATAGTTATGTAGAATGTAATAAATATGTTCACGTACAGTAAACGTTTTAAATATAAAGCAATTTAATAGATTACTTAGTTATAAAAGAAGTTTGGTGTTATCATCCACTAGAAATTAGTCTAGATTAATCAATATTTTATTAATATTTTATATTGGCTTAGTAATACAATAATTTATGTCATATTACTAATTAAGTAATTAGGTTTAGAAATTTCCATTTTAGCAAATTTTTACTCTACGAAAAGGTTTACTTGCACTTCCACACCTCTTAATGAAAACTAATTCAAGCCAAAAATTGAATGTGTGGAACGAAGATGTAGGTGAGGAAACCAAACCAACAGAGACCTAACCCATTAATGGACCGAGTAAATGAGGAGTCAGGTATCGTTGTTGAGCTTGAGTTAAACCAAAAGGGGCTCTGGAGGAGGAGACTCTCTGCAATCAATCTATGTTTTAAATTTTATACCACAAAAAAAATTATGTTGTAGGCTCCATCTAATGAATGTTGTAGACATATGTGTTAAAAATTAGTATTTTGTTTTGTTGGATCCATTTCATACATATATGTTTTTTTTTTTATGTATGAAGAAAATACTGTTGTTTGAATGTCAATGTAATTTTGTTTTCTTTACTATAAGCTGCAATACAACAACATCCCAAATATAATAACATTAAATTACTTATTTCATTGCATAAAAAAAACTTATGTATATATGTATCAATAGAAAAGTACAAAATTTTCTATTGATATATGAGTACATAATGTCAATGCATTCTGGATTTATATCTAACTTCAGAACTGTGTTCTCGATACTATAAATGATCAAGTACAACCTATCAAAATACATCTCGGACAGAAACACAAGAGTTCTCCAAATAAATATAAAAAATACTCCATTAACCACCAATTTTGATTTCGACGCCTAAATTACGAAGCCATTTTCTTTTATATGTTACGAAAAACCAAAACTGAACTCTCATCCCATCATGCATATGTAATGTAAGGAAGATATTTATGTAACTCTCATCAACTTTAAAAATAGACCTAGATGGAAAAAAAAAAAAAAGAAGTCAAATTACAATAGTTTAACGAGTGATAGGGACAATGAAACCATCACTTTAATCGTGAGATAAATAAACGAAACAAATTAAAAATAAATAACTCTATAAAACCAAGAGTCAAAAGGCTAGCTAACGCGTTAGATTTCCTCATTCCACAATTAATGAAGTAAATGCGAAATTATATGAAAGATGTTGTCTTTTTTTTTTTTAAAGACAAAAAAAGACGTAATCAAAGTCACAAAAATAAGAATAGTGTACTGCCGACGCATTGAAGCAAATTGGTAATAGGGAACACAATAACACAGTAGTATAAGAGTAAAGTGTGGCTAAAGGCAAGTTTTGTAGGATAATAAAAATGTCTATGGAAATGGAAAAAGATACGAAGACGAGAGGAGAAGAGCAACAAGAGACGACAGCAGCAACTGTGGAGCCGCTTAGCCCGATTTCACAGTTGTTCCTATCTCCGACTCTTTACTGCATCATTATCTTCACTCTAGGGTTTCAAACTAGATGCAATCCATCTTCCATTATTGAAGGTATCAAGAACACTTGGATCAAGTTCCCTCGCTTCTCCTGCAAATTGGTAAACATATCTATTTTTTACTTTCCTTAATTGTTTTACACGTAAAAAACTTACAAGGGAAATTTAATTAGTACTTTGGATAGTGATTGTTTTTTTAGAAATTTAGTTTTTCTTGTTAACAATAAGTATAAATATAGTATAGACGTACATATAGATAAATAAAATATAATAATGTTTTGGTGATAAATTAATGTTTCAGGAGATGAAGAAAAATGGAAAACCAATTTGGGTGCCTACTACTTTTCGAGTAGAAGATCATGTTATTGTTCCAGATATAGACTATTCAAACATTGAAAATCCTGATCAATTTGTCGAAGACTATACTTCGAACCTAGCTAATACTCCAATGGACATGTCCAAACCTTTATGGGAGTTTCATATACTGAATATAAAGACATCAAATGCAGAATCTTTGTGTATAGGAAAGCTACATCATTCACTCGGCGATGGGATGTCTCTTATGTCTCTTCTGTTAGCTATTTCGCGGAAAACATCAAACCCTGAAGCTCTTCCTACAACTGCGGCTACGAGGAAACGTGTTGATACCAATATTAATAAGGATAATTGGTGGTTGGTTCGGAGATTTTGGTTTATGATAAGAGTCATGTTCACAACTTTCATTGAGTTGTTCAAGTATATTCTTACACTATGTTTTATGCGGGATACTAAAACCCCTCTCATGGGTAAAGGGAAACGTAACATTCCACCTAGAAAGATTATCCAGAGGATTATAAGCCTTGACGATGTCAAGTTGGTGAAGAACACAATGGGATTGGTTAGCATATTTAATTTTTATATAGTCATTTTCTTTATCTTAGTTGTTTTCTTTATCTTATATTGATAATTTGTTTTGTTTTCGAATATTAACAAATGAATAATTTATGTGTGTTTTTCTTGTAGAAAATCAATGATGTTCTTCTTGGAATAACACAAGCAGGTCTCTCAAAATATTTGTGCAGAAAATATGGTAATTTTAAATTATTTCCCATTCTACCAGTTAATATATATCAGTTACTGACCTTAATGTTGCTAAATACAATATTGGTACGTCTTTTGTTTTATAAAGAAACTACTAAAGTCAAATATATGTACTTGTTATACCATTAGGAACTGTTGCATACATATATTGTAACATATCACTAACATTAATTTCAATATATGATATTTATATAAGTAGATGAAGATAAGGTGGTCGAGAAGAAAAAACTATTAGACAAAATCCGTCTTCGCGGTACAGTAATTGTAAATCTAAGAGAAAGTGCAAAGATTGAGGTAAATCCACTGTAATAAGCATGATCATCTTCAATTATATCTAATGATAACAAACAGCAAAGGTGTTCACAAAAAAATGAAAATGTATGTAGGATCTCGCAAATATGATGGCAAAAGGTTCAAAAAGTAGATGGGGAAACTTCGTAGGTCTTGTTATATTTCCTATATGGATACGATCTGAAGACGATCCGTTAGAATACGTCCGACGAGCCAAATCTACTATGGATAGAAAAAAACTCTCCGTGGAATCACTTATTTGCTACCAAGTCATCAAACTAGCCATGAAAATATTGGGGGAAAAGGTAATATTATTAAATGTAGTGTTAAAACTAATTATCCAAAAAAATTGTATCTATGTATATGACAGCCGATATATTGGTAGTAACAGGTAGTAGAAACTCTTGTTAGGAGAATATTTGATCATACAACATTGGCATTTTCAAATGTCATGGGTCCAGACGAAGAAACAAGCTTTTTTGGCCATCCAATGTCGTATGTTACAGCAAGCGCATTGGGTGGATCACAGGTAAGTGTAGCTAACTATGCTCAGTTAACCTTTTTAGAAATCACAGGAAACTCTGATGAAATTAACTAACAGTTGTATATGTTTGTTGTTGAACTGAACACAAAGGCTCTTATTATCCATTACGTGAGCTACGTGAACAAGATTATCATCAATCTAGCCATCGATACAACGGTGATTCCAGACCCTCATCTACTATGTGATGACTTGGTAGAATCGCTCAATGTCATCAAACTTGCTGCCTCGGAGAAAGCAGTTCATAAAATGGAGGTTTGAGATATGTATCACCTGATATAATATGTTCGGAGGATAAACTGTAGTAATGTAATGGTAACTTATAAAATGTTTGCGAGATTAATGTTATTTTTACAGTTTCATTTACAAATTACAACACCAAAAAGTATCTAGTTTCTCCCCCTATAATGTCACCACATTCCTTTCTTCTAGAGACGAAAATCTTGTTGGTTTCCTTTAACTTTCTTTCTCTAAATGGTGTATATATTAGTATATTTTAAGACCAGTATTACATAATATTTATCATTTATATTTTGAGCTTATAAAGCAAAAAAAATAAAAAAAATGGTACAACAAAAATTAGATACAATGAAGTGATGATAAAAAAAAAAAAAAGTATTAACTTGTTTAATGAAAATGTATATATACATGTTTTACAAGCACTTCCACCTACTAAAAAGTAATTATAGCTAATTGAAATAAGTGTTGAACCAAATATGTAGGTGAGGAACCCAAACCAATAGAGAGTTAAACCAATAAATAAGGAACCGAGTATATGAGGAGTCTCTGGGGTATTGTGGTTGAGCTTGAGTTAGACTTAAACCAAAGTAAAGACGAGACTCTGAACGTTTCGTTTGCTATGCAATCAATTCGTGTTTTCTATTTTCTACCATACAAAGTATTGTGTAGGCTCCGTATAATGAAGGTTAATTCGTACACTAATTAATTAATCTTTTTGTCATACATTTTTCGCCACTAAAGATTTTTTGACCAAATGTTTTTTTGTTGCCTCCCACAATATTGTAAAGTCATTCTCTTGGATACGTAAGAAAACCCATAGAAACGTACCTATCCTAGCTGCAAATGGTAGGAATATATAAATGTCCCTTGATTACAATTAAAAATTGGACGGTCGATTTGCTCCTTTCCGGAAAAGTACATAAACTTTCCAACTACACCTTGGTTCACAAATCCATTCCCACGTAAGCTCTAAGACGTTAGAAAAGTAAATGCTTGAGACTCACAAACACAGTAGGGACAGTGAAAACATCCCTTACTCATGATAAATATATTAGGAATCGAATTTTAAGTAAAAGATAAACTAATTCAACTCTAACTCCTAATGCTAAATGCATATACAACTCGTTAAATCTCCAAAATAGTAATGCAATAAATGCGAAATTAGAAAGATAAAAAAAAAAAAAAGACATAAGGAAAGTCATAAAAGTAACAAAAGGCTACGGCCAATACATATTTAATCAAGTGGGACGATAGAGCATGGGGAAAAAACACTAGTATAAGAACCAAGTGTGGCGAAAGGCAAAGTTGTATGAAAAGGGAAAAGACATGGCGAGAAAGAACCAAGAGACAGCACCAAAGGAACAGCTTAGCCCGGTTTCACAGCTGTTCGCTTCACCGAGTCTCTACTGCGTCATTGTTTTAACTTTAGGGCTTCAAACTAGATGCAACCCAACCACCATTGTAGAAGGTATCAAGAACACTTGGATCAACCTCCCTCGCTTCTCTAGCAAAGTGGTAAACATATATCTATCCTCAATTGCTACATATAAAAAAAACGTACGTACAAAATGGAGATTTAAGAATCTCATAATCATAGTAAAAAACAAATTACTAGAATATATATCTCATTACATGATCCTCTTACTTACTTTTGATAGTGATTGTTATACCCTGAACATTTCATCTATAATGTTGATAATTTCTTATATCATTAATCAACGTTACGCTTCCAGGAGATGAGGAAAAATGGAAAAGCGTTTTGGATCCCTGTTAGTGTTCGAGTAGAAGATCATGTTATTATTCCAGAATTTGATAGTTCCAGTTACATTGACAATCCTGATCAATTTATTGAAGACTACACGTCGAACCTAGCAAATACTCCAATGGACATGTCCAAACCTTTATGGGAACTTCATTTACTTAATATAAAGACGTCAAATGCAGAATCATTACTTATAGGAAAGCTTCATCATTCACTTGGGGATGGGATGTCTCTTATGTCTCTTCTACTCGCTAGTTCGCGAAAAACATCAGACCCTGAGGCTCTTCCTACTACTGCGGCTACAACACAACATGTTGATTCCAACCATAGGGGCTGGTTGTTGGTTGAGAGATTTTGGTTAATGATAAGAATCATTTTCACAACTCTTATTGAAGTGTTCAAGTGTTTGCTTACACTATGTTTTTTGCGGGATACTAAAACTCCTCTCACTGGTAAACCGGGAGACAGAACTCAATCTACAAAGATTATACATCGGATGATAAGCCTTGATGATGTCAAGTTGGTGAAGAATACAATGAAGATGGTAAGACATATTAATGATTATGGTCATTCTTCTTTATATAGATAATCTTTTCCCATATAAATTAAAAAATTTGTAATTCATGTTTGTTATTTGTAGAAAGTAAATGATGTACTTCTTGGAATGACACAAGCAGGCCTCTCAAGATATTTGAGCAAAAAATTTGGTAACGTCAAATTCGTTCCCATTCTATACTAATGATAAATTATTAACACTACATTAACATTGTTAAAAGCGATTATAATTCTTATGTTAAATAATAGATGAAGATATGGTGGTCGAGAAGAAAATGTCCTTAGACAAAATTCGTCTACGTGGTACAGTAGCTGTAAATTTAAGACCAGATACAAAGATCGAGGTAAAATCAGTGAAAACCATATCATTTTCCTTTTTACCTTTTTGATAAATTAAAATGCAAGATGAAGGTTCATAACATATGAGAGAATACAGGATCTTGCTAATATGATGGCAAAGGGTTCAAAGTGTAGATGGGGAAACTTCGTAGGTATTGTTATACTTCCTTTATGGATACGATCTGAGGATGATCCGTTGGAATACATCCGGCGAGCCAAAGCTACTATGGATATGAAAAAAATCTCCGTGGAAGCACTTTTTTACTATGGACTCGTCAAATTCGCCATGAAAATATTAGGAGAAAAGGTTAAAAATATAATAGCCCTATTAACTAACTAGCTAATCCATAAAAATGAAAGTCCTGTATTAAAAACGTATATATATTCTTTAATGGACAGGTAATAGAATCTATTGTGAAGAGATTATGTGATCACACAACATTGACATTTTCAAATGTGATCGGTCCAGACGAAGAAATAAGTTTTTTTGGCCATCCGATGTCTTATGTCACAGCAAGCGCTTTGGGTGGACCACAAGTAAGTATAGCTAATCATGCCATACTAGATCTTTATACATAAAACTTTTGATGAACATAATTAATAAACGGTATGCTGTTTATGTTTGCCGTTGAACATGCAAGGCTCTTATTATCCATTACGTGAGCTACGTAAACAAGATTATCATTAATCTAGCCGTCGATACAACGGTGATTCCAGACCCTCATCTACTATGTGATGACTTGGTAGAATCGCTCGATATCATCAAACTCGCTGTCTTGGAGAAAGGAGATCATAAAATAGAGGTTTGATCACCATATATATAATTGTAAGGCTTCGAAAGGTAAAATGTGGTGAAGTGTAGAAATGCAACTTGGTTTGATCTATTAATGATTCTCTTAGCGTAAGATATCTATTCTACTTTCATGCTGATTTCTTCTTGTTTGAGTTATAATGATCTTGAGCTTCATAATACTTTTTATGTTCAAACTATCTACAGTAAGTATCTTAATTAGCATAGTGCAATGAATACTATTTTTGAACGTTTTTTTTAATACTTTGGGAGATCAAAGTCTGGATAAGACCTTAGTTTAAAAGCGAATTTGGTTGGAAATATTATATATCGACAGTAACATTTTTTATACAAGACCGCAAGACAAAACAAACACAGGCCACAAGCTCCAATAACATATATTTACATAATCAGAGCTATTTCATCAACAAACGGTATTCAAATTTCCTTTTACGTAGGATTTACCGTGACTGTTCAAGGAGCTTGTGTATTGTTATTGTTCACGAGCTTCATCATGAAGTTAAACCTGGTGTCCGGAGATGTCTGTGGTTGTGGCCAAACTGCTCCTTCAGGGATCTTGATGCATCTAAAACCTTGATCTTTGTAAAGCTTGGTGGCTCCTAAGTTGTTGAGATCACAGTGAAGGCCGATAGCTCTACATCCCCAGTTCTTGGCTAAAGCCTCTGCTTTCCATACAAGTCTCTTGGCTATTCCTTTGCGCCGGAAATTCTCTCGAACCGCTACATTTGATATGTAAGCAATCCCCGTCCTGGTTTTGAAATAGTAGCACACCATCAAATCAAAGGAATACACAGTGGAGCAACAACACAATTTGAACCAATCAAGAAATAACAAGATCCTTCTTCAACCGAAAGTATCAATCAATTTAATACCAACAGGTCTGATAAGGATCCTGAAACTAAATAAGTTTCCTTTTAGTTGCACATTTTGACACTAGGTCCGTAGGATTAAGAACAGAGGCATAGTGTTTGACACTTGACCAGAAAATAAAAGATGAGACAGAAAGCGAACCTTCTCTGGCGGAGAGGTCCTTTCCTTGGAAGGTAATCTGCCACGGTATCCACAGTCAAGATTCCAGCAACATAACCTTTGTTTAAGCTGATTTTTGCATCAAAGGCTCCAATTTTGAAATCTTCACTTCCAAAGCAGATTGTCTCATCTGCCGAACTACCTATCACAGCGACTAAACAAGTCCTACGGCACCCTGGTGGAACAGAAAATCCCATTACCATAGCCATTAACCTATCTACTCTCAGAACAACATCAAGTGGGAAGGAATATCCCGGGAAGAAAGAGCTGCAGTGAGTCTCTGCCACTTCCCAACAGTCTTCCAATCTTGCTTCACGAACAACGATTTCAGGTGAAACTGCTGGAAAAATATCAACTATCTGACTTGCATTACATGCTCCTACATACAAACATAGACAATATATTCATTTAAAGAACAATGAAAGATAATGATCTCAAAACTATTCCATCAAATACTCAGCGTGACAAGAGGTCTCAGGTTTATGAATTACGAAATATATCAGCTGATTTGCTCAAATCATGCCAAACAAAAAAAAAGCCTCAAACTTTGAAGCTCTCTGGATCAAACATGTAAACGTCAATACCAAAACCTGTGAAATTGGAACTCGATCTAAATAAAAAAACCCAGTAATTCTAACTCAATACCCTCAAATTTAGTGTCTAATCTCATAGCTTATCAAGGCTTAATCCAACAATCAGAGGTCAAACCTGATCTGGTTTTGGAAAGGGCATGAGAAATAGAAACCATAGGCGAGAGAGACGATGAGTGACGTCTCTCCCTACGATGTAGAGAGAAATTAGAGACTCCTGAAGAGGGAACGAGGCGGCGGCCATAAGAGTTGAGTTTGACTGAAACCGGTGAAACCGCCGTCGTCCCCAACGGTGTGCTCTGCATTATCTCCTCCGTTCGCCGCAATTTTTCAGTTTCTGCTCAAATTTTATTTCTTTACCCAACCGAATCGGGCAATGATTTTAACAACAAACCGGCCGGTTCGACCGATCAAAATCGCCCACTCGACATAAAATTATTCTACCAACTTTCACACTTTTTCTTTTATTAATTTAACAAAGACACTAAAACCCACCAATAGTAGTAGTTCACTTAACATTCAGGTTTATGAATCATATGATATGATTAACATTGCCAAAACATCTAAGAATAAAATTTGCCGTATACATAGTTTCTTGGCCATACAAGTTTGTAGTTAACTCTTTCTCTATTTTCTTATATAGAATGAAATTGAAGATTTTCATTTAAAATTGATATTTGGAATCGATATATATATATATATGAATTTATTTGATAAAGAACAAATTTGTTTGTTTAATAGGAATTTAATCACACCATCATGATCATAACTATTATCATCATCATCATCATTATATGCTATCATCACCATTACTACCACTATAACATCACCATCATCATAGTATCATACTATCACCATTCACCACTTAACATATCATATATCATCAACTTCATACCACCACAATCATCATCATCATAATTATCAATCTTTAGGCTGTAATAAGAAAGATAGATAATAGTCATTCTACGTGTACAACACTGATCACGGGCTACTCTATATTTAAAAAAAAACATCTAAAAACAAAAACCATAAATCAGTTATTCACTTTAGTCAACAGACACTAAAACATATCACAACTTTGAAACAGTAGCTAGCAGGCCATCCTTAAACCCCAAACCAAAAAACCTATACATCGATGTCGCTTGAATTGTCAAGACTTACCCTCTAAATAATGAGAAAGAAACAAAGAGTTACTACAGGAAAGAGATTTCAGCGAAAACCTTGACGTGGACAACAGGGAGAGATCAAAGTTTGTGATCTAATCCAATGAAATTTCAAATTTGGTGAGAGCCACTGAACCTTTATCCAAAAAGACAATATGTACACTCCGACCCCAACCGCATGCAAGCTCATCACTCATCAATCACGATCCACAAATCTCGCCACGTGTCTGGCCGACAACATAGAAGTGTACTCACCGTGTGGTTGTCCAGATGCCATGCCATCCTCCTTAGAAGTTTCCGTGAGAGAAGAAAGATTCTGTTTAATTTCTCTTATTAATGTTCTGTTTTCTTTTTCCTTACATTAAGTCATTAATTCATACTTGAACGAATGTTTGTACTTTGTATAATGTAATTCTACTTTTATATGCTATGGAGAACCATAAATGAAAGCTATGTTTTTTGCTGAGGGTTTTAGCGGAAAACCAGAGTTATATTAATGTCATGTCAAAAACAATTTTTCAAAACAAGAAGATATTAGAATTTGATAGATTTGAATCTATTTAGGTAAATCGTAATTTAACAAAATTGCGTGTGAAAAATAAGGAAAATTTTGCTATCAAAATCATATCCGTGATACATTTATGCACGGTCCCATCTCTAAGAAAATTAGGTAATATAATTGACGAAGCAACTAATATATCAAAAAAATAATAGCTAGTCGTCGGCTACATTATTAAGCGAGACATTTTATTTTGGTATTATTAAGTGATACATCATTTGTTGTAGAACTTGAACAAATCCGCCAAACGCTTCGCTTCAAATGTCATATTGTATTTATCTTTGTGTCCAATCCTACTCGTCCAATGGACGGACCTAGATACGTATAAAGCTGTAGAGATGGGTCTTCCACGCACACCACGTGGACAATATTTGATTTTTTTATGGAGGTCGGTCGTTTATCCAAAAAGATTCAATTTATCCCTTGTAAGTAAAATTTGAGTATTCGACCCCCCAAAAAAAAAGAAGTGAATTAGTTGAGTATATTATGGTTTTCTAAGCTATATTTGACATTCCTACGTATAGTATTACCTTGGATATGAGTTTCACATTTGAAACGTTTGAGATGATCGAAGCAAATTGCGAATCTTATCGCAAGCGTTTCTTCATAATTCTATTTTTTTCTCTCCATTTTTGAGGGGTTAGGAGGAACATCCTCATATAATTCGTTCTACGGTGTGTTTAGTTCCTCGATTGGCCACTTTAAATTGGTCGAGCATCTTTAAAAATATGGATGATGAGACAACGACACATTAGTACAAACCCCTAGACTACCGAATCCTTGTAACCAACTGTTTTGGCTTAACACTATTATCTTTGCAACATCAATCAAAGTTGTTTTTTTTTTTTTTTCATTTTTTGGTCTTTTAAATATAGAATTAATATACGCAAAACCTAGATTTACCTGACCTAGAATGCCCTATGACCATGTAAGCATTGAGCTGGCAGAAATTATTATATTAATTTCTATCTGAATTGGACTCTTGAACGTATGTATGGGAATATAAGAAGACATATGATGGCTGTATATATGGAACGGCACACGGTGAACTTAATTATAAGCCCTAGGGTATAACGAAATTAACATTAACATCAAATAACTCGTGAAAAAAATCAATAGTTCATTAATTTTATAAATTTGTAAATCCAAGACTTTCACAGATCACAGTCTTGCATTGCATATATCCCCTTTTATATTGCTCATGATTTAATATTTTCAAGAAAATAGCTATAAAATAACCAAATCGAAATAAATTGAAAGCATATTCTTTAGACAAGAATAGAGTACTTCATAGACATACACTACTATCATACACACCTGTAGTGTTCCCATACTATACGATATATAAATATTATTATTATTTAAAAGGACAAAACCTGAAGGCAAAAGAAGAAAAACCTCAAGCTACATTTTTCCATAAATACATCCACTCACCATCTTTGCACATCACCCACATCTTCTAACAGTCTCTATCTTCTCTCTCTGTCTCTCTGAGTTCTTGAAGGCTAGCTAAGTCCGAAAATAATGACGAAGGATGAGGAAATGGTGGAAGATGAGTCGTTCTCCGGAAAGGACTACTTAGACCCACCGCCAGTGAAGACGTTCGAGATGAGGGAGCTCAAGAAGTGGTCCTTCTACAGAGCAGTCATAGCTGAGTTCATAGCTACTCTCCTCTTTCTATATGTGACCGTTTTGACAGTCATCGGCTTCAAGAGCCAGACCGATACCCAAGCTGGTGGAGGAGCATGCGCCAGTGTCGGCCTTCTCGGCATCTCTTGGGCCTTTGGTGGCATGATCTTCATCCTCGTCTACTGCACTGCCGGAATCTCTGGTCGCTCTCTCTCTCTTTAATCTTCTTGATAACTTTTATTGACTTCTATAGCTTAATGCAAATGCTTCGTAATTCTCAGAGTCCTCGTTACAAAGAAATATTTCAAGATACTTACTAAACCAACTACAGTATTAGTCATATGTTTGATGATACTCAACGTTGATATTTCTGCAAAATGTATATATATATATATATTTTTATCTCACTTGGATCAGCTGATTTTTATAAAACTACTAATCATATATGTGTGTATTAATATAGGTGGACACATTAACCCTGCGGTCACGTTTGGGCTATTCCTGGCTAGCAAGGTATCATTGGTGAGAGCTGTGTCTTACATGGTGGCTCAGTGTCTCGGAGCCACTTGCGGCGTTGGTTTGGTGAAAGTCTTCCAGTCGACTTATTACAACCGCTATGGTGGTGGAGCAAACATGCTCTCCGACGGATACAATGTTGGTGTTGGTGTTGGCGCTGAGATTATTGGCACTTTTGTCCTCGTCTACACCGTCTTCTCAGCTACAGACCCTAAGCGAAATGCCCGTGACTCACACATTCCTGTAAGCAATTATTATTTATTAATTTAAAGTATCAAAAACCTAGCTAAAGAATTAAAGTAGTACTCATGGTAAATAATCACATAAATCAAAATTGGAAGAAATATCAGGACGATAGATTTTTTTATTTCTTTGTGGATATTTTTTTGGACTAAGGGACGTACACAATCAAAATCTAGTGCCAGCTAGCTATATATAACGCATTTATTTAGTACTGAAAATGATGTCGTCTAGCCATTTTGGCCCTAACGAAAATAATACGGACCAAGTGTTTAGTGTAACGTCTATCTTCTTCTATGAGATAAACGACGAAAGTAGTGTTCAATTATTTTTCACTCATTTTCTTGTATCTTTCTTTGGTACCAAATGTCTTTTTACACGTTATAACGACATACCCTATTTTGTGATCCACGTCTCTTCATCACATGTCTTTGTATGTAAATGGTCCATATATATTCTGCATATTCGCAACGACCCATGTGTGATGCGTATAATATTTTCATACATTTTCCATGATATTTGTCCTTTCAAATATATATGTGAATGATTCCTTACACAAAACCAAATCTTTCCGTTATGCACATGGTCATTACTTGATTCTTTGTCTGTTTATAGTAATAATTGGTACGTACCTATAGTTCATTCAAATTCAAATGTCTTTATCATCTTTAATGAGGGAGATTCATTTATTTTATATGAAAATGAATGAATTGAAGGTATTAGCACCATTGCCAATTGGATTCTCCGTGTTCATGGTTCATTTAGCCACTATCCCAATTACCGGCACCGGAATTAACCCGGCTAGGAGTTTTGGAGCTGCCGTCATTTACAACAATAAAAAGGCTTGGGATGATCAGGTTCTTCTTTTCACCATCTAATACTCGTTCTTACACCCTAAATTAACTTATTGATGAGTTTATGTTTTTTTTTTTTTTTACTTTTATGTAATTACAGTGGATCTTTTGGGTCGGTCCATTTGTGGGTGCAGCCATTGCAGCATTTTACCACCAGTTTGTGTTGAGAGCTGGTGCTATGAAGGCCTATGGGTCAGTGAGAAGCCAACTTCACGAGCTTCACGCTTGATTTTGTTTTTTCAAACTATCGAAGAGGTGAAGAATTATTTGGGCCAGGAAAAAGAGAGAAAGAGGACCCAAATCATGCAAAAGAAAGTTTGAATGATTTTAAAATGTTGGTCGGTACGTGAGTGACATTGTAGTGTGTCTTATTTGTGGCGTTGATGGGAGGTTTGAGTGTAACAATTTGTAACATACAAGCTTTCGATCGTGTGAATGTATGTGTACGTTATTTGATGCATATGCTATTTTTATATCCTCTCTACTTATCAATGCTTCTAACTTTGATCCATCACCTTTACAACCAAATACGCCTACTTTATAATTTATGCTTCATTTTCATTGAATAGAGTTGATTGAGAACTAAATTATCGTAAGAGTTATTGGTGACTAATGATCAATTATCAAAGATTCGAAATCTCTCTCGAGGAAAAGTGACTTGACTCCCCAACTTGGTTTACTTTAAAATTTGGTTTTGTTTGTCGGCTACATCCCCAATCCCTCATAATATACTTCATTAATCTTAGCGTTTTCTCTTTAAATTTTGTTTTTACCTAAGAGGTCATATCTAACTTTTATTCTATCATTATGCTATGTCATCATAATGTATACTATATTGTAATAGATTGTTACTGTCTTACTAACATAGATTGATTATCTGTTTTAAATTATTGAATTGGAGGTCTTAAAGCCATTAAATTTTTTGTTTTCATGATTTAGCCACAATCTAAGCTTCACGAACTTCACGCTTAAATTTTTGAATTTTTTTTTGAATTATCTAATAAATGACGATTTTTTTTTTGGGTCAGAAAAACATAGATAAACAAAAAATAAAAATTAAATCATATTAAGAATAAAAAAAGCGAATTATTTGGATCATAGAATGACACTGTAGTTTCTTATTTGTGGCTTTGAGGAGAGGTTAAAGACTAAAAAGTGTAACAATTCGTAACGTATGTCTTGTGTGAATTGAATGTATGTGTTATTTTGATGCATATGATATTTTTATGTGCTCTACTTATCATTGCTTCTATCTTTAAAATCTATCATCCTTTAAGATTTTTTTTTTTTTTTTTTTTGTCACTTATTTTAAATATTTAAACTAAGTTGTTGAAAATGAGTTCTGTAAATGATTTTAGAAGTAGTCACGCAAATATTTGTATATATTTTAGAAGTGATACTACATTTTACGTCAGTTGATATAAATGATTTAAATGATTTTAATCATAACAACGATTATAGTAAGTGGTGTTAAATATTTTTAAAAATTAAGTTCTGTTTTTAACTGAACTCGAAACCTATCTGAATCCGACTTCACATAATTTAAAGTCAAACCGAATAGTTTTTTTTTTTTGTTTTCTCATAAGGAATTATATTAATATCAAACATCATACAAGGCCTCAACTACAAGCCCAGTCAAACCGAATCGTTATAAAACTGGATTAGATAATTATAGTATTTTTTTTTGAACAGATAATAACTTTCTTTAATCCAACAAAAATCCGAATCGAACCCGATTTGGGATCCGAGCGGATTTTCACAATCCTTTCTCTATCATTTTCACTCTCATCAGTCATAAGTCATAACCATCGTCAACGCAAAAAATGGCAGCCACCGCACCACCACCACCAGAACCAAACATAGTAGCACAAACTTCACCGATCGGGCACCCAATGTTCTCCCGGATCCGCCTGGCGACAGCATCAGACGTCCCATTCATCCACAAACTAATCCACCAAATGGCCGTGTTCGAAGACCTCACTAATTTCTTCTTCGCTACCGAGTCAGGTCTCACTTCCACGCTCTTCAACTCTCCTCCTTTCAAATCGGTCACCGTCTTTCTCTTAGAGGTCTCTCCTTCTCCATTCCCCACCACCTTCGCCGCTTCATCTCCCGATTTCACACCGTTTCTCAAAACTCATAGCCTTGATCTCCCCATTGAGGATCCGGATAGCTACAATTTCTCGCCGGATTTGTCAAACGACGTCGTTGTTGCTGGTTTTGTTATGTTTTTTCCCAACTACTCTAGCTATTTGTCGAAACATGGTTTCTGCATTGAGGATCTACTTGTGAGAGAGCCTTATAGAAGGAGAGGGTTTGGGAGAATGTTATTGACTGCTGTGGCGAAACAAGCTGTGAAGATGGGTTATGGGAAAGTTGAATGGGTTGTGCTTGATTGGAATGTGAATGCTATCAAGTTTTATGAGCAGATGGGTGCTGAGATTTTGCAGGAATGCAGATTTTGTAGGCTTACTGGTGATGCTCTCCAAGCTCTTGATACTGATTGATTTGTTGCTGCTGAGATTTATGGAACCGATTCCCTTTGCTTCAAGCTTTTAAGTTTGCTTCTTCTCTTGGATTGGATTCATAGACTTTTCATTATTGTATAGACGTGTGATGATCATTTAGCTGATGTAGTCGACTCTTCTCTTTGACTCTTGGTTGAGGAATGAATCCTGGTTGAATTCGAGTAGGAGACGAGGCAGACCAAAATGGTTTATACATGCAGTTAGATCATCGTTCAGAGTAGGACATCGCTTTGCCTAAATTAGTAATGAGCTCTCAGTTCATCACTATAAACATGAAAATGGTACAAACCAATAGCCACATTTACGGCAATTCAAAACATTTCAAGAAGTGTCAAACTTTTTTTTAGACATGATACAATACCACTTGAAGTATGCAAAATCTTAATACATCACTAGTCACACAAATCCCAAAAGATTGTTTACATGATAACAATTCACTGTAGGTTTATTTAGATGGAAAGTGATTTTAGTAGTTTGACACTGCAATTAATTGGTCTCGAATATTTCAAGACCAATGTTTGAAAATAATCACATTTATTTAATTATTATAAGTTGATATAAATTGTTATTATTATAAGTTGATATAAATTGTTTAACAAAAAATAATACTGATATAGTTCAATATATTATTTTTTTATAATTGAAAAATAACATAAAAATCAGTCTGTAAAAAATAAATGGAATTATATGTTAAATTTTTAAATAAGTACTGTATGTGCAAATTATTACATAAATCAAATTAATTTAACTGATGCAAAAGTGCAAATTATTATACTTAAATTAAAAAAAAAATCTTACCAAAAAAAAAAAAGAAATAAAAATGCACGTAGCACAAGAAAATGCTAGGCACAAACAAAGAAAAATAAAGTAGGAAAGCCACCGCCCCACCTTCTTCTCTAGAACCTCTCTATCTATCCTTTTCACTCTCATTCCTTTCAAAAACCCTAATTTTCACTATCACCATCTTCAACAACAAAAATGGCAGCCGCCGCACCACCGCCACCACCAACCGCAGCACCAGAGCCAAACATGGTACCACTAACTTCACCGATCGGCCACCCAATGTTCTCCCGTATCCGTCTCGCGACACCATCAGACGTCCCATTCATCCACAGACTAATCCACCAAATGGCCGTGTTCGAACGCCTCACTCATCTCTTCGCCGCCACCGAGTCAGGTCTCACTTCCACGCTCTTCAACTCTCGCCCTTTCCAATCATTCACCGTCTTCCTCTTAGAGGTCTCTCGTTCCCCATTCACCGCCGCCGCTCCGTCTCCCGATTTCACACCGTTTCACAAAACTCATAACCTTGATCTCCCGATCGAGGATCGGGAGAGCTACAATTTCTCGCCTGATATGTTAAACGACGTCGTTATTGCTGGGTTTGTTCTGTTTTTCCCCAATTACTCGAGCTTTTTGTCGAAACCTGGTTTCTACATTGAGGATATATTTGTGAGAGAGCCGTATAGGAGGAAAGGGTTTGGGAGTATGTTATTGACTGCTGTGGCTAAACAAGCTGTGAAGATGGGTTATGGCAGAGTTGAATGGGTTGTTCTTGATTGGAATGTGAATGCTATGAAATTTTATGAGCAGATGGGTGCTGAGATTTTGCAGGAATGGAGAGTTTGTAGGCTTACCGGTGATGCTCTCCAAGCTTTTGATCAGGTGAACATCTAGACATTAATGTGTTGCTGCTGAGATTGCTGAGAGTTATCGAGTCGATGAGACCACTTCCTTTTGCTTAAAACTTTAAAGTTTGCTTCTTTTGTTTTCCTGTTGTTCTTACTGTTATGGAAGTGATGACATTGATGATTCTCTCTGCTTACTTACTGGATACTCAATGAGAGAAACCCTTTTGTGGAATGTATGAAACGTTTTCAAGTATTTAGTAGAGAGTTGTGTAATTGTGATACCTTGTCATGTTTGCTTTACTATAGTTGTATGTTGCGGATTTGGAAAGTTGGTGAATTGTCATAGTGATCCGAGAAGTGGGAACAGATAAATTCGTCGGTTTGTTAGTAACCATAGTTCACAGAAACAATATTGGAGTGATAGACGGATACAGTATACCTTTTTCATTATTGTATACATTTGTGATAATTTTGCCGACTGTTCCCTTTGACCCCAACATTAGCCTGAGGTTGTTGAGGAAAGAGTCCTGGTCGAATTAGAGTGGAAGCCGAACCAGGCCAAAGTCTTTTACACATGTAGTTAGATAATTCATCGGACAGGAGGACATTGCTTGGCTTAAAAATTCAGGTAGCAATGAGCTTTCAGTTCCTGGCGATGAACATGAAGATGGTGCAAACCAATAGCCACATCTTTGCAATGCTAAGCATTTCAAGAAGTATCACACTTTTTGTAAGTAGGATTAGGATTCTGATGGAACTTATCTTGATCGTGGACAGCAAATAGTGGTCATATGTCAAGACAACTTGGGAAAATTTTAGCCAATGGAAAGAGAGAGGGACCAATCAGCAATGAGGCATCCAAGGAGAGAGATGAAGTAGTAATTTCTCGCTCAGGACCAGATATTATGTTTCCTTTGGACCAGGCATGCATAGTTAGTTCAAAGCTTGAAATATATAATCTTACAATCAAACGTGTATTAATTCCAATAACTAAACAACCACCCGATTGTGACTCCTTCCACCCACTTCCAGACAGTATCAAACCTTGACACTTCTAGGCCGCATTTATCAATGGTGTATAGTTACGTTAATGTCGTATATCACGTCGGGGTACACACACTTTCAATTATAAAACGAAACTTTCTTTCACTTTTTAAATTTTCTAATTATATAAGAATCAATTATGTCGATCTCCAGCGCCGGTGACGAGACTGGACCTAGAGTTTCAAATGGTATTGTCGACTGCTCTGTCGATTTTCGAGGCAAACCAAGCGTCAGATCCTCTTCCGGTGGATGGAGATCCGCTTACTTCATCATGGGTAAGTAGTACTACTCTTGACTCTTTTCTTCCTATATACTTCCTCAAACTTTCCCGCCAAGAATTCAAATAGAAAATAATATTAATATTCCGACAGGTGCGGAAGTGTTTGAGAGATTCGCCTACTTTGGGATATCCTCAAATCTGATAACATACTTCACCGGGCCGTTAGAAGAGTCAACGGCGGCTGCGGCCAACCTTTGGCTTGGAACTGCAGCGTTTTTGCCTCTTTTTTGGGGTTTCATCGCCGACACGTTTCTCGGCCGATTCCGAACAATCCTCTTGACCTCCTCTATCTATATATTGGTAAACCTAAATTATAAACGTCCACCTTATGCTTAGATGATTATTTAAAAAAAAAAAAATGCAAATGTATGCTTTAGTATATATCCCACTTAAAAACTAATTAAGACCGTGATCTTTTTGGTTTGTGGTTTTTTGGACCAAGGTCATTTTAGGTCTTTTTATATATGTCTAATATATATTGGTACGACAATATTTAGTTTCGAGTTGCAAACCTATATGATTATCACAAATTTATAATAATGTTTTTGGTTTTTTGTACGTGCGAAATTGATTTCAGGGACTTGGGTTGCTTATGTTTTCAGCGACAATTCCTTCTCTCTGTGAAGACCAAGTACCATCCGTCTCGTGCCTAAAGAATGTCAAAGTAACAGTTTTTTTCTGTGCTCTCTACCTAGTAGCGATAGGTGAAGGAGGCTAGCTTCAAGGTAGGTCTTGAAGCTTTCGGAACTGATCAGTTTGATGAACAAGACTGTGAAGAGTCCAGAGCTAAGAGCTCTTTCTTTAACTGGATGTATTTTGCGATATCAGTCGGCATATTGATCACTCGGTTGATCTCCAACTATGTCCAAGAGAATCTGAGTTGGGCTTTAGGATTCGGGATTCCATGGTTTCTCATGATGTTCACTCTTCTCTTGGCTTTAGCACCGGAGGAGAAGGAAGAAAGCGTGATAACCCTCTTGCTAGAATTGGCTGTATTTTTGTGGCTGCAGCTAAAAACCGGCAAGACCACAATACTCCTTCTGAGACTTTATGTCTTCTGCCTATCGAAAGTTCAAAGAAATTTAGGTAAATACCATTGGAAATTTAAATGCATCTTTTGTTAATTTGTTTGGGTTTATCTTTGTCTTTTTTTTAGTAACCAACTATGAATCCATCTTACTAGAAAAAAAACATGGCAACTACATACAGATTCCTGGACCGAGCGATGATTACTTGCAATTCAGCTGATGTTGAGGACACAAAAAATATACTGAGTCTCGTTCAGATTTGGTTGTGTTGTTTAGGATTTGGGATTGTGTATGCACAATCTTCTACTTTTTTCACAAAGCAAGGGTCTACAATGGACAGATCAATCTCACCAAATATCTTAGTTCCTGCAGCTACACTGCAATGCTTCATAAGCCTAGCAATCCTTATCTTCATCCCAATATACGACCGTATATTCGTCCCAATAGCAAGATCGATCACTCATAAACCAGCAGGGATAACAATGCTCCAGCGGATTTCCATCGGTCTTTTCCTCTCAATTGTTTCAATGGTAATAGCTGCTTTGGTGGAGATGAAAAGACTAAAGACCGCTCGAGATCACGGCCTAGTGGATTCGCCTCAATCTATTGTCCCAATGAGCATTTGCTGGCTGATACCACAGTACGTAGTATATGGAGTCTCTGACGTTTTCACTGTGGTTGGGTTACAAGAGTTTTTCTATGGGCAAGTTCCAGTTGAGCTTAGGAGCTTGGGACTGTCAATGTACCTAAGCGTACTCGGCCTAGGCAACTTCTTGAGTAGCTTCATGGTATCAGTCATCGAGAAAGCCACGAGCCAGTCCGGTGAAGTGAATTGGTTCGATAATAACTTGCACAAGGCACATCTTGATTACTTCTATTGGCTACTTGCTTTATTCAGCTCTATCGCCTTCCTTTTTTTCGTTTATTTCGCCAAGTCATATGTCTACACCAACCCAAAGTAAACTCTTCAATGAAAATGTTGAGAGGGATGGGAAATGAATGATGCATGTTGGGCTAAAAATGGAATTAATTTGGTGATGCTTGTATCTATTCAACCGAATATATTTAAATGAGTAAAGCTTTTAATTATTATTTCCTAAAACACCTTGCAATCAATAATAATATCTAGTGAGAGTTTTTATGGATTGACTGTAGCAATCTCACTCAAGTTTATGCCTCACGGGATTTTCCCATATATATATATCTTCGGCTTATTACAAATTTTACAACCCATAACACTCTATTGAAGATTCGACGTGGGCGAAGCTGTGTCAAATTCTTGTTTATTGTTAGTATATTACATTTTATTTATTATTTGAATATTTATAAATGTGCTGAAGGTTGTTATACATGATGAACCTGGACATAAAAAGTGGACAAATACTACTAATATCACAATAGGAGGATGCAGTTCCAACTTCCCAATATCTTCTTTACAAAAGTGCACATCAATTATTTTTTTCTTTTTTATAAGTCCCTCTAGCTAGTTTGATAGAATAAAGTTACGACTTTACACTACTCAAAATCATGTATATATCCAATTATTAACAATTAAAACTTATAAGAATCTATATATATAAAGTTAGCTTTTTCTCTCTTCTCATGATACCACCTAACCATCCACCTAAGCCACATTTTTTTTAAATTAAAATAAATTTAAGACATTCATTTTGTGCATATTTATGTTACTTATTTAATTAATAGAAAATTTATATAAATAACAATAAATTATGTAAATAAATGAAATGTTAAATAAGAAATACTTTCATTTTTTATTAGTTAGTGGTTATAATATAATTCAACTTTCTTTTTAAATTGATCATAGTTTAAAATTTTAAATGTGTTAATGAGTTTAAGAATGTAAGTAAATTTTAAATTTATTGTAGAATAAAAACAACATTTATGTAATTGTATATATAAAATTTTAAAGGGGAAAAATAAAACTGAAAGTGAAATATTAGTTTATAACATAATCAAAAAGAAAATGCTTTTAGTCCAAATTTTAAATATTAAAAGATAATAATTCAAGAGAAAATAACTATAATATGTTTTGAAAATTAATTAAAAACAAATATAATATCATAATATGAATAAAAAATTAACAAAAAATTATAAACCTCTCGCACGCAGTGCGGGTCAACTGCTAGTGAAAAACTAAAGAATTAAAGTAGCAATAACTAAAATTGATACTCCTAGTCCTAGCTAGTTTTGTTTCCTTTCCCTTCTATTATCAACTAAATTGCTCCCAAAGTTGGGAAGACGTATCAGAATAAATAATTGATGTCGCTGTCGACAAAATGTGGACTACGATTTCTTAAGGGCATATGCATCGGCAGCTTATTGAGCGTTCTACACCAAAAAAAATAAAAATAAAAAAAAATAAAGAAGGACTTATCTCCAAACGGAGCGGTTCTTTAGCTTGTGTTTAACTATTCGCGGACCCCACTGACACGTGACAGTCCGCGATTGGTTACATATGTTCTTAAAAAAAAGAAAAATCGAAAAAATCTAAAAAAGAAAATAAAAAATAAAAAATTATGGGACTAAAATGCTGTCCAACTGATGTGTTTGCTCTAACATCTTGCCAGCCACATATTATCATCGCCTAACCCATTTTGAGGTAACGACAATAATATCAAAGTAAGGTGTACCGTCTATTAGGGTGAAGAAAAGTTAGACTCTCTTAATATTGATTTTTAGTTTTTTGTATTTAATTTAATACAAAATTAATGTAAAATTCACCAAAGATACTCCCAATAATTTTGATTTAAACGCATGGCTTTATTACCAATAAGAGAGATCGACCTCAGAGCTCAAAGAAACATGAGATAGGGTTTTACGTACTTATCATGTGGCACACTTAGATTGGCTTACAAAATTCTCCGAAACTGATAGCAAGTAATAACTTCAACTTCTATTATTGATTCTTTAAAACCCTATTTTGAGTATTTTTCAGATCAATGTCTTCAAAAACAAGTAACAAAAAAATGACAGCTCCCGCTCCTCCAACCGCAGCACCAGAGCCAAAGAGTGTTTTTTCCCTGATCCGACTTGCGACACCGTCCGATGTTCCTTTCATTCACAAGCTAATTCACCAGATGGCAGTTTTTGAGCGCCTCACGCATCTCTTTGTCGCCACCGAGGCTGGTCTTGCCTCCACGCTCTTCAACTCCCGTCCGTTCCAAGCCGTCACCGTCTTCCTCTTGGAGATCTCCCGTTCACCATTTTCCACCACTGACGCTACGTCCCCTGACTTCACCCCTTTTTTTGAGACGCATAACGTTGATCTCCCAATAGAGGATCCAGAGAGCCAAGACTTCTCGCCAGATAAGCTTAACGACGTAATTGTGGCTGGATTCGTTCTGTTCTTCCCGAACTACCCAAGCTTTCTAGCTAAACAGGGTTTCTACATCGAGGACATCTTCGTGAGAGAGCCTTACAGGAGAAAAGGCTTCGGCAAAATGCTACTAACCGCTGTGGCCAAGCAAGCGGTGAAGTTGGGTGTCGGAAGAGTGGAGTGGATTGTGATTGATTGGAATGTGAATGCTATCAACTTCTATGAGCAGATGGGTGCCACGGTCTTCAAGGAATGGAGACTTTGTAGGCTTACTGGCGATGCACTTCAAGCTATAGACAAGCTAAGCATCTAGATTTGATATTTTGCTACTGAGTCGACCCATCATCGAACGATCTGATCACTTCCTTTTAAACTTTGTGTCTCACTTGTTTTTCTCTTGTTGAATAATACATCTCATGTTTTTAAAGTAGAGGACGAGAGATGCATGTTACTGTGATTCCGCTTGTGTTTATTATACATATGTAATTCTCTTGTATTTTCCATGTTCAAAATAAAATTTCGAAAGATCTATTTAATGTCTCTACAAGTAAGGAGGTTTTAAAATTAATTAGGTCAATTTCTACAGGATTAAAAAAAATTCTTGAACTTTCTTTTGAAAATAATTTATGTTCGACTTCGACACATGCTCAAATATATTGGTCCTATCATAGCTAGTAAATTTTTTTATTATATGTTCGACACATGCTCAAATATATCGGTCCTATCATAGCTAGTAAAATTTGTCATTATATATTCGACACATGCTCAAATATATTGGTCCTATCATAGGCAAATCTAAGCATTTCTTATTGAATTCATAGCTAGTAAAATTTGTCACTACGTGAACCTAAAAAAAAAAAAGTGAAGACATGATACAATTCCACTTCAATATGATATATCGTTTTTTTTTGGTGAACATATGATATATCGTTTAACAAAATTACAATATCGTAATACAATTAAGAAAGAAAAATAAGAAATCTCAAATGATGATTACATGATAATTAAATTACGGTAATCAAGGATTAAGAAGGAAAATTAATTTATTAGTTGACAAGGCGACAATTCTTGCGAATCTCACCACCTTGGTCTCCACGTGTAAGGACTTTGATGGAACTCATCTTGATCATGGACCGACCAAACTGAGCAAGGAAAGTGCCGGAGTTTTGGAAAATACCAGCAATGCGAGCAGCGGAGGGATCAGTCAACAAGGCGGCGTCGGAGGTGAAGAGCCCTTTGTGTCGTAGGAGAGAGACGAAGTAGCCACTGTCAAAGGAGAGAGGTCCGGTAGGATCCATTCCAACTACTGCGGAAGAGTTGAGTCTTAAAGATTTGTCGGAGCATTTGGATTTGAGGAAAGCGGCGTAGTTAGGATCCAGGGATGGATCTGTATCCCCTTTTCCGGTGAAGTTCAACAGCCTCCGACCAAACACACCGCAACGTGCTGTTCCTATCGTGTGTGCTCCTGTTTCATTCAATTTCGTTTCTTTTAGTATAGAATCGAAAAATAAAATTAGTTGACTAATAATGGCAATAAATAAAACTAGCTGACTAATGAGTACTTTACACAATTAAATGATAAATATTAGATAATGTATAAGAAAATTAATTGAATTTTTACATACATGCATGATGTTCAAAATATGTAAATATAATATACTATTTCTTGAAGATTGGAAGGATTAAATTCGTAGCATCCCAAACAATTTCGTAACATGGACATGCACGTGGTCTGATATTCCCGCGATTTTCTTATAATTATTCCCAATTTCATAAGTTTAATTATTATTATACTTCTTTCTATATCAGTAACGTCTATGTGATGATTAACAAAAGATAATATATATGAAATATGCTAAACCTGATAAAGCGACAAGGTCAACGACGTCCAAATCGCTCTCGGCAAAGAGGTTCTGTAGAGTGGTGAAGTTTGCCCCAGCAGAAGGTAAGTCTCTGGCTGCTTCCGTCGCCAATGAAACTCTTCCATCAACACGTCCGGTAAAGACATTCCATAGCGGCCGTTGGAACTATAACATATGAAATTCCCGATTTTAGCATTTTATTTTCGAAAATTCATAAATTTCATCACTTTCTGAATCATATACCAAAATCCAAACTAATCCACGACTTCATGCATGTAAAAACATGATTCTCTTCTGAAACAAAGCGAATGAGAATGGATTCTTGGTTTAATTTGTTCAGCAAGAAGCTAAAACTACCATAAGTGATTATTATGTAAAACACTAAATTTGTAACTATTTCTATTCATGAAGACGAGTTTGCTTACTTCATAGGAGACGGCATCTCGGGCGGCTAAGGTGAGGATGTCAGCGCAAGAGACTGTTTCAGGGCATTGTTTTTCGAGAGTAGACTTGATCTCATCGATGATTTCAAACCCGGACAGCGAGAGGTTAGGTCTCGCTTCCTTCTCAGACGCGGCTTTCTCAGGGACTGAATCTAAAAGCAGAGATGCGTCGCACCCCTATATATCATCAATCATACACATTAGACGTATCTTTACAATAAAGAGGTTCCAATAATAAACGAAAAAACTATATGTATATCATACCCTAACAAAGCAGTCATGGTAGTGAACCCTCAATAACTTGGGAGCCAAGCTAGGGTTTGCCGCAACTTTCTTGGACACAATCTCTTTAACGATTTGCTCGGCTTGAGGACAGCTTTTGTGATAGAAGTTCATCTTCAGCTTACCTTCCCACCTTCCTAACCTCATCTTATGGCCATTATTATTGAATCTCTTACCATCAACACAAAGTAACACAACCAAAAACAAAGCAAGTGGGAATAGAATCCTAATCTCTAAACCCTTAGCCATGATTCTACTTTAGATTTGATGTTTGCTTTGAAATATTTGTTCTTTTATTTTTGTATTTGAGGAATGCACTTGGCAGAGTTGCTTTATATAGAAACCGATGCTCCATAATAATCCATATAACCCATATGGCCGTTGAATATTTAATATTGTTTTAGCAATTGAATAACTACAGAAATGGGAGGCCAAGCAAAGTTCCCTGTATGTGTTGTGAAAATGAAGGATTAATTATTAAGTTGTAAGTCAACAGAATTAATTAGAGATATTTATAATTCTTGCAAAATAATCATTTAGCTTCATTAGTTGAACCTTAACGTGAACATCCATAATGAAAGATACTATAGATTTCTCTGCTGTCTCCTCCAAGACCATTTACATTATTAATTCAGGCATTTCTATATATTGTCACCTTCACTGTTTTCTGAAACTTAATCCATCTTTGTAAAAAGTTCTTTGTGATGAGAAGACCGGATAGTTAACCTTTGCCATATATAGCCTGGAAAAGATTGAGCCTCGTTTACTTTTTTTATATATCATACAAACCTCAATTAAAAGTCCTTTTGTATATTCTTACATGTTCAAATACAAGGTGAGTTGTCCAATTGCAACAAACATATTAGAATGCTTTGTGTCGCCCAATTTGTGAACAATATCATTGAGGTCCAGAAGAAAAAACCCGTCAATGCCGTCATGATGCTAATTGCTAATTAAGTAATAAATTTATAAGTTCCTTTACGGTTAATTCGAACCCCAAAAAAAAATCTTCTAAATGTAAATACGATAACTTTATTTTGTGTCTGAGCTCATATGGGCCACTATTTTTTAATAAGCCTCGTGAAGAGGTCCAACATCATAAAGGCCCAACATGTCTATGTAATGGATTAGAAGTAGACTAGTCCTTCCACAAAAACGTGTTTCATAGTGTTGTACTGTTGTTAACCAAAAACACATTAATATTGCGACAAGTGTCTTTGTACAGTCCTTTATAAGTCTCGTTCTCCGATCATCTCGTAAAACTTGTATCAATCATCAAACATTCAAACCAACCAAAGCTAATGGAGCACCACCACCATCATCACCACCACCGCCAACGCGACGACGGCGATGAAGATCGTCCCTCCTTTGGAGGACCACCGCCACGCAACAATTTCTCCGATGCTCCACCACAACCCCATGCCCTTTACCAGTCACAGCAACCTCATTTCGACCCTTACGCGCCTCCGCCTTACCGATCGGAACCTCAATTCCCATCTCACGCGCCTCCGCCTTACTTCGAAGCTCCTGCACCGCCCCCTTACTTCGAAGCTCCGGCACCACCTCCTTACTTCGAAGCTCCTGCACCGCCGCCTCCATTTGGTCATGTGAGCCATGTCGGTCATCACTCCTCCAACAAACCTTACCCACCGGAAAACCACAGTTACGGTGGTTATCCGCCGCCTAATTCGACGCTAGAGAGCAACACTGGCGTGACGCACGTGGCTCACCATAGCTCACATCAGCCTCAACCCCACACGCCTTCTGGTTTTGACCACCGCCCTGATGAGAATCGTGTGCCTGATAATATTGCCGGACTCGCCGGACGGGCGACGGTGAAGGTGTATTCTAAGGCTGAGCCTAACTATTATCTGACGATCAGAGATGGTAAGGTCATTCTCGCCCCAGCTGATCCATCCGATGATGCACAGGTACTCATCTCTCACCACGATCCAAATACTTAGCCACTGGGCTTGATGTGTTTGTTTGATTCTTATGCGTCTCAATTTGCTCTCTCATTTGAGAATCTGAATAATTTGGAATTATGCATAGATTTTGAATTTGTCTCTGGACTTGGAAGATTGAATCTTGTTGATTAAGATTTAAGAAAGGGGATTCATTTGGCATACATATTCTCTGTTTCTGGATCTAGAGTATTATTGTATACGAAACCAGGCACGGCTTGTATAGGCTCCTGATATCTCCACTGATTGAGCTTTTTCCAAGCTTGTTGATGATATCATAGTTTATTAGTATTTCTAAGTGGTTGTTTGTTGGAAGATCTTCAGTTCATATATTTGATAGTTGCTGTCATTATTGGTTTTTGATGTATGTCTTATTATACTCATGGTTAATTTCAATAGAAATTGTTTCGAATGCGCAGCACTGGTACAAAGATGAGAAGTACAGCACTCGGGTGAAGGACGCAGACGGTCATCCTTGTTTTGCTCTTGTAAACAAGGCTACTGGTGAAGCAATGAAGCATTCTGTGGGAGCTACCCATCCCGTAAGCGTTTCTTCCTTAGACAATCTTTTGCCCTGCAGGCTTTCATTATGTCCATTGTGGTCTTGGATAAATACTATTCTTCATAAGATTAGATAGTACTTGAAAACAGTTGGTCATGCATCTTCTAATTAGAAATCGTATTAGTCACCAACTAAGGAATATAAGTTGGAAGAAAGGAAACAGAGAGGTGCATAAGAGTTTTGGGAATGTTTCCAAAGAAACTCTAGTTTTGTTCTGTGATTCTGCATTGTGTTTGTTGATCCTGTGAGATCATGCATAGGTTTATGATTCCAAATCTTACCATCTTCTTTCATAGAGTCACATCCTTCAGCAATATGTTCAAAATTATATCACTGGGGTATTGCAGGTGCATCTAATTCGATATGATCCTGATAGACTCGACGAGTCTGTACTATGGACAGAGAGCAAAGATTTGGGAGATGGATATCGCGCAATAAGGATGGTAAACAATACAAGGCTAAACGTTGATGCATTTCATGGTGACAGCAAATCTGGTGGTGTTCGTGATGGCACGACTATCGTCCTTTGGGACTGGAACAAAGGCGACAACCAGCGCTGGAAAATCTTTCCTTTCTGTAAGCTGTTTTGTTAAACCTTTCTGCTTGGTTTAGACTTTCGAAAATGTCTTTACTTAGATCAATCTAGAGACCATGAGGTCAACTTTGAAATAACCTTTTTTAATTGATTTTTGTAAATGCAGGAAATTTGGCGAGTGGAGTGGTGAAAAGAAGGTTTGTGTGTGTTTATGAATAAGAAAGAAAGAAACAAAAGTTGAGATTTGTTAATTTGTTGTGCCTTGTAAGAGTTGAATTTGTGCGGTTGGCATCTGTAATCTATCTTTACTTGTATTTCAAGTATGCCTTTTTACAGATACATACACTCTACATGTGGTTTATATATTTGTTTCTATTCTATTTTGATATCTTTATTTTTGTTACAGAATCTTCTATTAAACAAATTCTGCAGGTAGGAGATCAAATCACAGATTTTATAGAACTATATGTTGATTAGTTTTATTGAAGCAGACTTGGACTTGCACTCACGATTATACCACAGCTGTCTCTTTCTTTATTTACTACGTACTTAATAAGAATATATTGGATAGTTTTGTAAATTAGAGGCAACATATATGATTATATTTCTCCCATATGTTATGTCACATACGTTATGTTATATATTATCCCCCTATTTTTTTTCATATAGATTCCTAAAGAAGATCAGTTTCTTGTGAAATGGTGGAATTTTATAAGTTGAAAATTTGGTCCTATCTGTGATAGTTTCTTGTGATATGGCATCATTAAGCTTAGCCAATCAGCTTTGTTTTGTTGGCTGTGCAAAAGTGATGTTCTTGCTGCGTGAGTCAGACCAGAAGGTCCATCACGGCCCTTGCAGGCTATCAACACACGTCAACACTTAAACCCATTTATAAGACAACGAAGTTTTCTTTGGTTACTATATAAGCCAGAATTATGCCGACATCAGAAACCGGGTCTATATGGTAATCTTGAAAGAAACTTAGTAAAACTTGAACAAAATGGATAAATGGACATAATTAATTTAGTTATATTCGACAATTAGTTTTAATAACTAAAACAAAAGAAAATCAACTTTTAAAAGCAATTTATATTTGTGAAAAAAAACCCTGTATAACTATATATATAAATAGTGTAGTTTCGTTGAAATATTGTCTTCAATCATATTTTGTTTCTCAAATTGCACAACCATTTAGATCAGATTTGATTATTTTTCAGTTCCACTGTTAAAAGGTATTTTAAGTGATATATAGTTGAATGGAGCTTAGCTTACTACTCATCAACACAAACTTAAGTAGTTTAGACTAGATTATCAATTTATAAAGGTTTGGTGATGACCAAAACAATAGATCATTGGTTGGGTTAGACCAACTCAAACCGACAAACATATAGAAGCAAAAGTTTATTATTCCAGGATACGACATAAAAATGTCTCCCATGCACATCTTTCCCATGTTTGCCCTTCACTTCATAGCCGGCCTGGCCGATCCTTCAACATTGTCTAATCTTGCATCAGGCAATTCAACGGCCACGACCGCGATTTCGTTCACGTCGGTTTTATTTCCTAGTTGGTGCTCTGTTGGCAAATCCGTTTTCGTCGAACCTTGATACATCATATATAGTATCATCTGAGCTACACCGAATAAAAAACCGAGAATGTTTGGCATCTGAAGACAAAGCGATGGAGACCAATTAGTACGTAAAATAATTAACTATAAAGATGAAAGATGAGATTTGAAAATGTAAAATCAATATTACAGCGATGAACTTGTCTTTGATAAGAAGTCCATAAAAGAACCACATGACGGCGTTAAGAGTGAGAGACAAGGACAGAAGAAACGGCATGTATTCCACACTCTTTGTCTTTATAACCTTCCTCTGCAACATTTACACATCGTTTCATTATTAAAAACCAGTTCATAATAATAGAAAATACGGCATGATGATGTTTGAAGAAAGCTGTATGTATGGATCACCATGACGCTTAAGGGAGAAGCAAAGACGGCAAGACTGTACGCAGCGCAAACCCATCCAACAGTGGAGACACGGTGTGGTTTTGGAACCAAAAGATTGACTAGAAGAATTAAGAGACCAAGTCCACCGATGTTGCATATCACTATCAACTTCAATGTGAATATCTACCAAGTGTACATCCGGATAAGTAGTTGATATTGTAGAGATTCATCAAACTGAATCGAACCAAACTGATTACTAAAAATAGAAATATATTTATAGGAACGTACCCTGGCCTCTCTTGGTGCGTAAAAGATATAGAGAAACAAGTAGGTTATCTCAATGAAACATCCAAAGGTGTTAATGCTGATGATGAGATAAGCATGTGTCTTCATTATTCCGTAGTAGAGAAGAAGAGTTGCACTTGCTAGTGCACATATGTACGGTATCGACTGAAACCCTTTTGATGATTTCTTCTTGTATATCCCATAAAACGTTGGCCTATAACATAATCTTATAATTATATCGAATCCTCTTACATTTTTTTTAGTATATAGTATTTGATTGGATACTTACACTGGTGACAGGAACACCCCAAAAGACACAATGTTGCCTGAAAACAAAAGCCAGAGTCATTATTAGAGTTATGTTATGAGCTTATCATGTTGAGAGTATATGATATGTAACTATTATTGTTTGAATTTATTTGAAGTTGCTATAGATCTTTATATAAAAAGAATAGAAAAAAATAAAGGGAGCTAGATATATTTACCCATGAGACCAAAGAAAAAAGCAAGTTGATGAACTTTGATGAACACCATTCTTCACTCTTCTCTTTGTCTCTCAGTACTCTTGCTAGCTTAAGATTTTATTTGATTTTAGTTCGTCATGCATGTCCCTCATTTATATTGGCCTTGGAGATAAAAAAAAGTGATTAATTCTTGCGTTTTCATCTTTGTCCCCCATTTATTTTATTTTCTTTCTCTTAATAAACTAAAAAACAAAAGTTTGGTTCACATTTTGTTGGATTTTGTTTTTTTGTACAATATAATGCTTCACTCAGTAACACAGACAACTCTTTGCATGGCTGATTGGCTGTAAATTGCTGGAGACTTCTGAGGTGCTTCTTCAGTTGGCCAACCCGCACAATTTTAGTTTCTCGTTTTATTAAACCAAATTTAATGCAAATTTTAATACTTGTTCTGATCGAGGAAACCACCTTAGAAGTATTTCTTGTGTTTTTTTTTCTAAGGGGGAAAAAAAGATTCACAGTGATTAGTTCCTTTCATTGAAAGTTAGTCTTGAGATTAAGAACATTAAGGATTCTTTTAACAAAAAATGAAGAAAAAAACACTTTGGGGAGTCGATGATTTTTGACTATTTCGCTATGGAGTATTGATGAAAATTAATCATGTAGTAAATTTGCAATTTCTATCTCTAAATAACTCATGATTTTGAGAATATTATATATTGCCGTTTAAACATTTACTGCAAAAACGTAGCCAATTTGATGTTTTTAGGATGATAAAACTTGTCTCAGCATTAATTTGTGATGTTTTTTTTAGACATATATCAAATTCTGTTGTAACATCTTTGTTATTTAGCCACAAAAAAGGTATCGGCCAAGAAAATTCTCATCAACGTGACGACGTCGTACGTGAGCCTTGTCACTGTTGTTGGAAATTGACTAAACTAAACATCCCCGAAACACAATGCAAAAAGTATCCAGTGTACATGTGTGAACCCTAAAATAAGATCTGTGGAGGAGTTTAGAGCCTTAATGACGGTTAACTTATGAATAAATTACAGGTGGTTGCAAAGTCATGTCATTAGGTAGTGCTGTTCCTAATTGTTAGGCCTTCTAAATCCGACAAAGTATTTTTTTGTATTAGGCTAAACATATCTTAAAGTCGAATCATTCTGTCCAATTAATTTAGTTAAGACATATCATACACCTTTGATTAAAAAAAAAGACATATCATACACCTTAAGTGGCAAATCTCTGAATCTGGTTCAATTTTTATGTATATAGCCAAACTAATTTGAGATTCGTTTTCTTGAGATAAAACATTTCTTGTCTACTCTCCTCATCCCTCATCACCTGTGTAACTTATTACAATCTTCCATAACTGGTGTAAGGAAACCAAATGTGATAACTAATAAGAGTATTTGGTTGCACATATATATCACCATAAGATGATTTGTGAACATGTTACTGAATAAGTATTTTAATTAATAAAGGTAAAATGAAAACTATTAGCATCAAATTATGTGGTTGAGATGAAGGCATGGATGTGTTTGTTTAGGCACAAGCCTTGAGGCCTTGCTTGTTTGGCCTATTTCTTTGTTACAACTTTAATTTGGTAATGAACAAGACACACAAGCTTTTACATCTTGACATAAAGCACTAATAATATCTTCTAGATGACCTGGTAATGATTCGGCCAAATTAAAAATACTACTTTGATACTCCAAGAAATTGAGCAAAGCTTGGATACTTCGGCTCCCATCCTATTTCTTCCCGTGTCCGTGAGTTGTCTAGCTTCTTCCCTAAAGGACCGCTGGTGCCTACAAAAAACCAAAGTTTTCAGACTATGAAGCTTAAGGTTTTCGAGATAATCACACGTCAATATATGTCTGAAGAAACTCACTCGTGAAACCTTTGAACTTCTGATCATATTTTCCACTTTGATTCATCAAGTCCATCACCTCTTGCCTGAGAAGAATGAGAAGCCAAATATGTGAGAAGTCGATTTTTGAACTGTCTCAAAGTTATAAAAAGAGAAGCATTACCTTGACAAAGGATGGTTGTCACAACCCAAGAAAATGCGACCACCGGGTTTCTTTTTCATGACTGCAACTGCCAGCGATGCTGCATCCTGTTCAGAAACACATTACAGAAATTGATAAGAGACTAATATATTGTACAGTGCCAATGCTAAAGAATGAGTTATCTAATATTACATGATGTAATTTACATCTGCAGACCAATCATAAGCATGTATTGTTAGTTCATGGTCTTTCAACAGGAGAAAGAAGTGAGCAAAATCACAAATATACCTCATAGTGTATGAGATTCAGGATATGATCAGGACGAGCATCGATTGTCCCCTTATTCAACCAGTAAGTATGTGCACCTCTAGTTTCTGTGTATAAAAAGTTCAGGAGAAACATAATTTTCAAATCTGCTAGAGACCAAGAAGAGCCTTTTCAGTTTATGCTCATTGAGTATCAAATTTCGTATTCCAAAAGGATATGTATAACCCTGCCAGTCTAAGGACCGTCCCGCCACATTCCAACACTACTTTTTCAGCTTTCAAAAGAACATCGGTTCTTGGGCTCTTTCCCAGTGGCACTACTGGAGAATCCTGCAGTGAAGGGTGATTAACTTAAAACAATCTCTGTCAAAACAAATGATGAAAATTGCAGTATGTCTTGAATATTGTAAACTTGATTTTCATAGATTTCAAATGACCAGATCTGTGTTCCCCAATTACATCAACAAATCCAGTCTTTCTGATGTTATTGTGCTTGACAATTTTAAAATAGAATACTGCTGAAGCCTAAAAGTGGGAATATTAAGATGGAGAAAACTGAAAGGGAAAGATGTATTCAAGGACTGAGACAAACCTCGTTGCATTCTCCATTATCAAAGCAATCATAAGGTGCAGAACTAGATGTGAATAAGAATGATCCTTTGCCGTTCCAGTTTAATGCTGCATTCCTGATCCGTTTGTAAACACAAGCACATGCCATTGCCAATATTAGAAATAGTTAAATGAAGGCAAATTCGTTTTACTGTTGTCTCATAAGATGAACCAATAAACACAAACTGACGTTTAGCTTCATCTTTCTTAACCAGTTAATAAAGTTAACCGAACAATATACCAGGCATTCAGTAGCGGAACTTAATGCATGGTATTAAACAAAAGGCATCAGAAATACAATTCATAGACTTCCTAGTATTTTGAGTTATGTGGTTTTTGTAATTAATCACCTGACTTCGCCAGCATAATCAGCGCTTTGTGATGGAGGAGCACAAAAGATCACATATGAGAACTTGTCCCCAAATTCGGTTCCTTTAAGCAATGGTTTAATATCCAACTTCTCCAACTCATCATGATGATTTGTTGTTGCTGTCTGCCCAAAGATTTGACTCTCTGGATGTTCCTGCTTCACATAAAAAGTTCCATCTCTAACTTCCATATTGTGAAAACATGACTCTTATTATACACATTGTGATAAAAACGAAGTATAGTCAATATCTACAAAAATTCCGGATATTTCCATTACAGATTGTATAAGATCAACACATTGATAACGACTCAAGACATATAAAACAGGAATTGACAGGACATTAAACACCATACCGATATGATGTTTTATCAGATAGATATGTGCAACTATCAAATTAAGCTTAATCTCTGTAGAAGACAAAATGATGATATGCGACATACAAGACAAAATTTATACCTGTTTCCATTGTTCTGCAACTAAGCGTCCAAGAACACCTGGTCCAACAATCAGCAAATCGTTTGCCCCAATTGAAACATGAGACTGGACCTTCAAGCCATCACTGGTCTCATCTTCATACAAAAGGGAAGAAGAGAAGAGCACAAAAAACGTATTCAAAATGTCACTACTTGGAAAAAATCACAAACTCTTAAATTTAACACATCCTGAGCTTCTTCATCTATATCATAACAACATTTCTTAATCACTGTTCGACTCTAAGTAACTCTCTAAGTATCCAAAATTAACATCGGAGTAGCTCTAAAAAGTCAACGAGCGGTCAGCTGCCGTTCACTAATCCATATAGCCGCCGAAAAAAAAAAAAACAGAGAGTAAGAATACCAATGGTGGAAGAGGAAGAAGCTTGAACAGGAGTCGCCATGATCGAAGACGTTGAAGGAAGAAAGAAGGAGACTTTGGGTTTATCCTCCAGGCGTCTCAAAGCAAACTTAAGTGAATATGGAGAAGAAGATGCTAAAGTTGATAGCTTGGAGAAATGGTGAGTCGATAGAATTCTTGAATTCACAGTGGGAAATGAGATGCAAGAGATGAAACCCATGAATGAAATATACCAAAAAGCGTTTTGGGTTTTGACGACGATGAAAGCAGATTGAGTTGGCGTGGCGAAAGAGGTGGGATTCTCCGTGAGACTTTGGTGATGGGTACTCTTGGCATGTTTTAACCAATGGCGTATTTACACGTCACGATATCCAATATTGTAGAATAACTTTGTCTTTTTTGTGCTTTTTTTATCTTCCAAGAGTTTTTTTCTTTTCATATTCTAAGTTTTTAGGAAACAAAGGGAATGACATTTATACTATTAAAGAATTCGATAATTTTACAGTTTACACATTCTTCTTTGCCTACTAAACAATCTATCTCTTCACATGAGCTCGGCCTCCTCAGTATCTCCATCAACATCTTCCACATCGTTCTCGTCATTCTCATCAGTTGCATCTGGGTCTATTCCCTGCAATTAACACCCCAAATTTGTCATGCACTAAACATCATCGTAAATACAGAATGTAGATATGATTTAACTCTTTCAAAGTCTACAATCGAAGAAAGCCAAAAATAAAGCATGACTGAGATATGTACCTTCATCTGTTTCTCCAAGCGATCTAGTCCCTTTTTGGCTGCCTCATTATGTGGATTTATTCTGCATTTACATTGTTTGACACTTTGTTATCTAGTTCATTGATTCACATGGAGAAACAACGGGAACTACTGATTTGGAATTTCATAGACCTTAATGCAGCTTGATAGTGTGATAAAGAATCTTGTAGCATATTTGTTGCAGCAAACACTTGAGCTAGCTTGACATGGAGAGAGTCATCAGCCCAATCTTTGAGATATCGTTCTAGTAGTGACACAGCATCTCCATTCCTCCCTTCCATTAGATGAAGCTCAGCCAGAGCTAAGGCCGCTCCAAGGTACCCAGGTTCAAGCCTCAGACCTGACTCGTAGAACTTTTTTGCCTGTTATAAAACCATATCATTATTCTATTACACCAAAATTTTATATACATAAGAAGATGCTCACAAGCTCTGAATAGTTTCTCAGATTTTGTATACACTATGCTTCTCAAATATCTGGATAGCCAAAATCCTAAGGAAGGTTCCCAATTTCAGTATTTTGTAATATGTAAAGAACAACCACTAAATCCCTAGACTAGGGAATAGATCTGCTATAGATGATGGAATTCTGGGTAGTATACTGATGTAATAAAAATTGCAAAAAACGGCGAGTTGTTTACCTTTTCCCTGCCACTTGATGTACTAGCATGAACATCACCAACTAATTTCAGAGCCTTTGCGGACTGAGGCATTGCATTCATTGCTTCTCTGGCAGTATACAACGCTTCTTTGGTTTTACCAAATGCCAGATAAGAATGGACTAAGCCTGAAAATACCTTAATAGTGCAAGTTAATTCACACTCCAACCTTTCACTTGTGTTAAAGGGTTTATACCACCAAACAGTACAACAATGGAAGTGTATAACAGATTTTTTTTCCCTTGTGAACCAGACCTTGATATGAACGAAGATCGGACCTCAAATTCTGGGCCGCCCTGAAGGCGATCGCTGCAGCTTCTGGTCGTTTTGCTTGTAAAAGAAGATTTCCCTGAAATATTATACAAATAGTGAATAGATGTGAAAAGTTATTTTAACAGATAAATCCCTCATTAAAGTAGCTTACCTTCATTATATAGCCGGGTATGTGCCTCTCGTCCACCCTGATACTCTGATTGCATAGTCAAAATTTCATGAGCTACCACACAACAATTTTAGCACAAAAATCTAGTGTCAGAAAAAAGCTAACCTTCTCAGCATAAGATAATGCCGTCCTTGCATCTTTCCTTTCCCATAGTACAGACAAAGCAACAAATACTTCTGCTCTGGTATGATCAATGCTTAATAAATCGTGGACGAGCTTGTTTAGTCTGGAATAATCACACTTTATCTGTAGCAGCATCGCATACTCATCCATACTGGTTAGTGTGTAAGGATCATTTGACCGAACCTACAAAAGCTTTAGATGATTATGCATAATTTAAAGTAGTTGAGACTTGAGACAAATCTATCGATGCGGTGACTACCTTCTCAAATCTCATTATGGCCTCATCATTTTTCCCAATAATGGCTTCAACCTACAAAATCAATAAACGATGGAAGAGTTCATCAACTATCAAAATTATGCCAATCAGATTTAGATAGGGCGTCAATAATAATGATAATTAGAAATTCAGATGTAATTCTGTTTGCATCGTAGTCAATGCCATCTCTAACCTTTGCTGTCTCAGTCAACAAGTGTACATTATTTGGAAATCGTTGTAAAAGTTCAGCAAAGAGTTCCAGCGCCCCTGAGTAAACACAAAAGTACACATTATCCAGTCAGGCATGTTGGAATTAAACTGAAGAGTTTCTCGCAAATTATATGTGCAAACTGAAATCTACAGGGTTAGACATAAAGATCCATATTTCACGCACTGTTGGCATATACATCCCAAAAAAAAGCTACCTTTGTAAGCATGTGAAGCAACACAACACTGGGCCTCAACATAACGCTGTAAAAACGAAGAAAAATATATCAAAAAAAAAAGACAAGGAAACAAATTTTATTGCCAGATAAGCTTCAAGACGAAAACAATAAAACAGCCATACAAGAAAGGATAAATAAAAGCTTTGGTTCCCTGGTTGATTAGTCGAGATGATGCTAACAGAAGAATATAATAGCACTAGTTTGCTCGAGGGAATACTGTCAAGACAACTATATTAAACTTTCCAATCATGAACAACTTCTCCTTATGTATATAATGAGTAGTTCAGTAGATTTATGACAAAGTTCTTAGAACTATTGCATATAAAGTCGTATTACAGATGATATAATAGGTAAAATAAGAGCACTAAATCACTCAAATAATCAGCATGGCCTCATCATAAAGAGTGCACTACAAACAGTTTTAAACGTTGTAAACATTGTTAATGAGTATGCTTACTTGCAACCAACGGGTAGGGTCTATCTGATCGAGCGAAACTTTTGCACTTCTATTTGAAGTCTGAAATGCACAAAGGATACAACAGTTACAAGATAGTATGGATTTTACAAGGAAAAGGTAACTGAAAAATGAAGAAAGAGGCGCAAAACACATTTAACGAAATGGTGAAACATAAAAGCAAGTGGTAAAAGAAATTTCCTAGAAAAGGACACCTGTGTAAAAGATGATATGATATCCTTTGCAGTGACGCCCAGTTCAGCTAAACCTGTAACAGCTTCAAGTACATAAGGACACTGCCTGCAGAGATTAAAGATTATATACATAAATATGCAGTACTATTTTATGGAAGGATTAGATATTATGACAGTGATTATATGCTAGGAAATGTCTGGCAAAGAAAAGAAAAACAGACCTTAAACACTCTTTATAAAAAGCAATAGCACCACGGTTGTATCCAGAATTTCGATGAAGCTTTGCCATCAGTATATTCATCTCCAAGCTTCTGGTCTTGACCGATTCCATCTGGCAAAGAAGGAACAAGAGCAATAACTGATTATAACTATGCAAAACATGGTTTATCATTCATATAAATACTGCACTGTTGGAAGCAATGAATCGAATTAGTGTAACTTGTTTTGTAATATGGATTTCCATTAATGGGTGGCGAGAGGAAGTCAAACGGAATTCATCGCACATTCAGGAAGACTAAAAAAACCATGAATTATGATCAGTTAATATTAATACGTTATACCGAAGAAAATTACAGTGACTGAGCTCTGATTATGAAAGACAATAGAAAGATATATACAAGTCACCCTATATGGGAAACCAATCTATAATCTGAGAAACAGAGAAATCCCTCGACAGCTCTTTTTCCGTCTCATAGACATTTTTATGTTCTATAATCTATACACCAATGTTTGTAGACCAACAAATCCAGAAGACTTAACAAAATATTGATAACCAGAAAACAGATGACACTTCAAAGAAGAAGATTGAAGACATACCTCAGCAATCGCAGCTTTCGTTTCATTAAGAGCAAAATGGGATGAAGCAATCTTGAATCTCACCTAAGAGGAAAGTTAGAAAAAGAAGTCACACATGACACATGAACTCCTATGGAATTAAACCAAAGCAGCTAACTTTATGGAAACCAAAAGGATCAAGAAGAAACGTTGTAATTTTACCTCGTTCTCATTAATAGTGGAAATGCCAGAGGCGTTCACAGATGATCTGGTAGATAAAGATAATGAACTCCTCGAGATACTGGAGCTTTGCTTTGGAATCCTTGTAAAATGATGCAACGCTTGCTTGTACGTATGCTGACAGGAAAAAAAAGAAAAGAAAAGGAATACATATTCAGAGTTTTGACAAGACTTCAGAGCTCTCCTCCAAAGTACTCCAGAGGAGAAGAATACAAATCTGAAATCTATCTCTGCCCACTCCATATACTTATATATAAGCAGTTTTGGATTTCGTTGAGTTCAGTCGTAGTTAAAACTTAAGATCCAAGAATTCTTCATAAATTTTTTAATTTGAGGCAGAGCTAAACTTCCGAACATTGAGTAACATTTTTTTCTCAGCAAAAGAAAAACATAAAGAATTAAACTTTCGAGAACTTACAATAGCTCTCCTGTATTCTCTTTGGTGGAATAAAGCATCCCCCAGTAGAATCTGCAAATCCAACACAGAAAGAATCTAACTTCAATCTCGAGCATAAGGAAAAAAAAAAAAAAAACTAAAGGAGTCAAGCTACTAAATTAGAAAATATCGACGGAGAAAGAAGCTTAACCAAATTCTCCGCCTTTAGCTGAGGACTAGTTTCGGCACTAACAGTAGAAGATGAAACAAGAAAGCTACCCTGGAGATAGATGCATATATAGAGAAAATTTCATTAGCTCTTGATAAAAAACTAGGGATTTAAAAACGAGAGAGAGAAGAATCAAAATGAGTTAAGAGTTAGACAAGTTACGAGCATTTCAGCAGAATCGTAGAGCCCATGCTCCATTAGAGTCGCGATCTGATCCTTTGGAACCTCCATTTCACAGACCAGAGAGTTTGTGGTTTAGTGGCAATGGCTGGTGGTGAGTTTTTTTTCTTCGGAGCAGCGATGAAGTAAAAGATCCTTCACGCTCGCTCTTCAGTTTGAAACAAGAAATCTCAAACCGAACCGAACCGAATTTAATCGGTTATCAATCAGAAAATAAATTCGGTTCATTTAAACCCGACTTTTCCAAGAGGTCTACACCGAGCAAAGAAATAAACTCACCGGTCAGGCCTCCATCACCGTCTTCAACGGCGATCTTATCAGTGGCTTCTTATTCGTCGCCGGAAAGTGTTCTCTGATGAAAAGCGGTGAGAAATTTGCTGAGAGATCACTTTTTACTGCTTTACGGGGGAAATCATGTCCGATATGCTTCGAAAACCTAACTGACCGACGAGCCGCCGCCGTAATCACGGCGTGCAGTCACGGATACTGCCTTAGTTGTATTCGGAAGTGGAGCGGGTTCAAGAGGAATTGCCCTCTCTGTAACACTAGTTTTGATTCGTGGTTTATCGTCAGTGATCTTGCTTCTAGAAAATACCATAAGGAGTATTTACCGATTCATCGTGATCGTGAGACTTTAACTTATCATCGGAATAATCATTACGGTCGCCGGAGGTTATCTCTCTCTCTCTCTTAGATCCTCTCAATAAATTAGAAATTACTCTTTAAAAAATCACATCTTTATATCCACTGACTTATAACTTCATTAGGATCATTCCAAGATCTACGCATGTTTTGGAAAACTCTAGCTCGAGATCTAGGCCATTGCCATGGAGGAGATCATTTGGACGGCCAGGTTCAGTTCCTGATTCTGTTATCTTCCAGCGAAAGCTTCAATGGCGATCGAGGTTGGTTTAATATTGATCTCTTTTCTATCTCTGTAGCCTTCCCTTTGCAATCCTCCTTTTTTGAATTGTTACATTAGTTTTTCCTCTGTTTCTTACTAGTATTGGCTCTAAATGCAGCATATACAATAAGGGATTACGAGCTGTTCCATTACATTCGAGGCGAAGCTTGGAACCAGTAAGTTCAATTATACAACTAGTATGATGTTTTTAGTATTGGAGTTTTGTATTGGAAGCCTGATATATATACCTGCTTCCTTGTGTCATCATCTATGAAATGTATGATAAATTGAAGAGTTCTGCAGGTGAATGATCAGGCCAAAGCTAAGATTATTGAAAGAATTGAGCCATGGATTAGAAGGGAGCTTCAGGTAGTCCTTGGAGAGCCTGATCCATTAATCATTGTTCATTTTGCGTCAACTCTTTTCATCAAAAGGCTTGAGAGAGAGGATAATCGACAACCTCGGCAGACTGAGATGTTGGTGGAAGACGAAGTCTCTTTGCTTCAAAAATTCTTGCTTGACAAGGCGGATATATTTTGGCATGAACTAAGGTAAGCATATTGTAGGTTTTCAGAGTTTTAAGTAACTACGGATTTAGTAGTAGTACATGAAAGACCTGCATAAATTAACCTCTGTATTTGATTATAGAGCTGATATCTGTTTTGGTTTGGGATTTTGGTCATCGTTGATGATTAATTTTTCCTTGCAATATGTATGGTTGACGACTGTTTCTGATGAGAAGAAAACATACTTTCAGATGCTTCGCTGAGAGTAGTCTCACTATGGAGGCTTATGATGCAGTGGTTGAATACAATGAGGTGGAGTAATAGCAGTTAAAATAACAGGTAAAGAAAATGCTTGGGAGGTTAACTCTTGTTTGGATTAACAAAACGAATATGGATATGTAATATGTGGGTTTGGTTTCACTAGGTAGAAATCTGTTATGCTTTGTTGGTTTTTTTCTGAAGTCATAATAGCTCTCATTATCTTGTATTTGCTAGCAGATGACAGAGCACTAAGCTCTCGCCAAATGAAGCAAACAGACAGACTTACGATGCGACTGTTGGTGTCTTGGAAGTTCATTAGTGGAAAGAGTGGACCAGGTAAGACAAAACCAAGAGTAAAAGAGTAGGTAGGAGGAAGATGTTATGATGATGCAAGTTTAGGTGTGGGGTTACTTTTGAGATAGCTATAGGTGGATTCTCATGTAGCTGACACTTAGTCTCTCTACTTCCACAATGTACGTCTCTCCTATGCCAAATCCTCTCACCACCAACGCTATTTCAACAACATTAAATATTGTGTATAAATTTGACAATCAATTTTTTTATTTACTACACAAATACATTGAACATATATCCGTTTTTACAAAAGTACAGGAAGCTTCCATAGAAGTAGCAGAAGAGGAAGATTCATTTGAGTTTCTCTTTAGAACCGAACCTTAAAGGTTAAGGCTATATAGATTAAAACGGTGAATAAATGACATGAATATAAATGGATAAAATTTAATAAACAACGCGTTCTCGTAGTCCACTATTAAGGTATTGTGATAATTAGTAAGCAAGGCAAGCGGGTGTAACACAAAATAAAATAAAATAAAAAGGCTTCTTCTATAGGTTGGTAAGCGGCAATCCAGCTGCCATTCCTATTTGACTTCTCCTTTCGATCATGGTGAGCTCGTCTTCTTCTTCTTCTCATTATCTATCTCTCTGCCATTTTCTTTTGCTTTAAAGCTTTCTCAATCATGAACATGATGACCCCCATCACAGCTTTTCAACCATCCTCATGAATCATTCTACATCAGGTTTCTTCTCTTCCCCCTCTGATTCTCATCACTCTTACTACATCTCTATTTTTGTGTTATGTGTCGGTTTTTGTTACACATTCTCTCGAAAGTCTTGGAATATCAGGGTTCTTGGTGGAAATATGATGATATTGTGTTGAGCGATGCTGTTGATTACCTGACATCTGATGTAGATTGAATGATTCGGATATTCTGTGGCTATTTCTCTCCTTAATTGCGTTTTTATTTGTGTTGACTTGGAATGTGCACCTGGTTGGACAGTGAGGAGGCTGGTTTCATCTAGAGCAATGAAATGTTTCTACTTCAGCAAAGACAAATCTCAGGATGGTGAAGCTAAGACTAGAAAGTTTGGTTCCATTACGATGGCCAGAGGAGGATCAGGGTCTGATTTTAACTCAGATACAAGTACTGCTACTTCCATTACTTCCTCCTTGCATGTCCTCTCAGAGACACACAGTAACAATCTCACAGTATTTGCCCTCGATGACCTTAAAACCGCTACCAAGAATTTCAGTCGCTCATTAATGATCGGGGAAGGTGGCTTCGGTGGTGTGTTTCGTGGCGTCATTCAGAACCCCCAAGATTCTCGTAAAAAGATTGATATTGCAGTGAAACAACTCAGCAGAAGAGGTCTACAGGCAAGCAAAATCTCTCTTTTTCCTCCTATTCCTTTTTCTTTGGTTTGTTGCGCCTTCAGTATCAAATAACATAATCACATATGTATGTATTTACAGGGGCATAAAGAATGGGTGACAGAGGTTAATGTATTGGGAGTAGTGGAGCATCCGAATCTGGTGAAGCTGATCGGTTATTGCGCTGAGGATGATGAGAGAGGGATCCAACGGCTACTTGTTTATGAATACGTACCAAACAGAAGCGTTCAAGACCATTTATCCAATCGTTTTATAGTCACTCCTCTCCCTTGGTCCACCAGATTAAAGATTGCTCAAGACACTGCTCGAGGACTCGCTTATCTTCATCAAGGCATGGAGTTTCAGGTCTCTTCTTCCATCCATGATCACACATTCCTTTAATAATCTTTTATGTGTTCTTGAAACATATCTTGTCTTTTATGCACAGATCATCTTTAGGGATTTCAAATCCTCCAATATCCTTCTTGATGAGAATTGGAAAGCAAAGCTCTCTGATTTCGGACTGGCTCGAATGGGTCCTTCAGATGGAATCACTCACGTCTCCACTGCGGTATGCCATGACTGACTTGTTGTGTCTCAAACTCTCAATTGGGAGTTACAAAATTTTGTTTGTGTTAGGCTTTTACACTTTTCATAAAGACAAAATCAATGATGGCGTTTCAGACGATTTGATTAACAGGCAATAATAACCAAACTTTGAATGCAACAGGTTGTAGGGACCATTGGTTATGCAGCACCGGAATATATCCAAACCGGACACCTCACGGCTAAGAGTGACATATGGAGCTATGGAATCTTTCTATATGAGCTCATCACAGGGAGACGGCCTTTTGACCGTAACCGCCCAAGAAACGAACAGAACATCTTGGAGTGGGTCAGACCGCACTTGTCCGACTTAAAGAAGTTCAAGATGATCATCGACCCAAGACTTGAGGGAAACTACTACCTCAAATCGGTGTTGAAGCTAGCTGCAGTTGCAAACCGGTGTTTGATGGTAAAGGCGAAGTCGAGGCCAACAATGAGTCAAGTTTCAGAGATGTTAGAAAGGATAGTGGAAACGACATCAGATGAAGCTCCTTCAGGACCGCCATTGATGAAGAGCTTGACACCTAAAGATGCGTTCGAGGCATCGAGGAGGGAGAGAGTTAAGAGAAGATTTGTTGAACTTTTGATTGGGGAAAATGGTTGTCCTAACTTGCCTACTTGGTCTCCTAAACTTGTTACTTCTATTTGATTTTTGAGAGAACAACAACTTACCGTTTGTGTTATGCAAATATTATTGTCGTTACTTAAAAGTTATAACTCATCCCAAACTCTCTTTTTCTACTAGGACAGTTTTGTGGAAAGACCATTACAAGCTTACATATGTACTAGCTAACTATAGAAAACTAGCGTAGTGTCTGTGTCGTTTTGCTATGAATAAAACGGCATGCAGTTTTATCCCAGTAAGTATCGACGATGAACGCCATGTTGTTTACAGCTTAAAGTAAACATTGTCACTGTCTTCTCTAATTTCCCGATTAAGCTCCGTCACAATCCAGCTCCGACTAAGTGGGGTTTTAGGGTTTACCGATTTGCGCTATCTTCCTCTAACAATGCTCTCTATTCACCGTCATACCCAAACCCTAAAAACCCTAGCTTCCTCCTTCACTAACCTCCCTTACTCTACTCAGAAACGAACCTACGTTGACGTTTACATGAAATGGAAGAAAGATTCTTATTACGACAACATCGAACACATCCTCCGATCGTCTCAGCTCAAATCCGTCCTTGGTCTCAAAAACTGCATCGTCCAGGACCCAAATCGTTGCATTCCCATCTCTTCCATCTCCAAGAAGACGCGTCAGTTCGATGTATCAACCAAAATCGCTCAGTTCTTAAGGAAATTTCCTTCAATCTTTGAGGAGTTCGTTGGTCCAGAGTATAATCTTCCATGGTTCAGATTGACACCAGAAGCTACAGAGCTCGATAGGCTAGAGAGAATCGTATACCAAACTCACGCAGATGATTTGCGTGATAGGTTGAGGAAATTGATTCTGATGAGTAAAGACAACGTTTTGCCAATAAGTGTAGTTCAAGGAATGAAATGGTATTTAGGTTTACCTGATGATTACTTGCAGTTTCCAGAAATGAATTTAGATTCTTCGTTTAGGTTTGTAGATATGGAAGATGGAGTTAAGGGTTTAGCAGTAGACTATAATGGAGGAGATAAGGTGTTGTCTGTGTTGCAGAAGAATGCAATGAAGAACAGAGGAGAAGTGAATTTAGAAGAGATTGAGTTTCCTCTGTTTCCATCTAAAGGTTGTAGATTGAGAGTCAAGATTGAAGATTGGTTAAAAGAGTTTCAAAAGCTTCCTTATGTATCACCATATGATGATTATTCATGTTTGGATCCAAGTAGTGATGTAGCTGAGAAGAGAGTTGTTGGGTTTCTTCATGAACTGCTTTGCCTTTTCGTTGAGCATTCAGCGGAGAGGAAGAAGCTGTTATGTCTCAAGAAGTTTTTCGGATTGCCGCAAAAGGTTCATAAGGCTTTTGAGAGACATCCGCAGATTTTTTACTTGTCTATGAAGAATAAAACTTGTACAGCTATTCTTAGAGAGCCTTATAGAGATAAAGCCAGTGTTGAAACTCATCCTGTGTTGGCAGTAAGGAACAAGTATATCCAATTGATGAAGAATTCGGAGTTGATTTTGAAGAGTAGAAGAAGGAACAGTTTCGGGTTTTCGAATGAAGGAGTTGTAGAGAAAGATTTGGATTTGGATTTGGATTTGGATTTGGATTTTGAAGCCTAAGGCAAAAAATATTGTACCTTACACAAGAATCAGTTTATGATCAAAATGATTTAAAGTCACCGATCTTTATTAATCAAAGACATCATTGACGTATTTGTTTCAAACAAGTCTATCGTTTCAGCTCACATCACTCGAAATATTACAAAGACTTTGAATGCAAGAATGAATTTGCTATACGAAAACAAAAGAGAAAACAGAACAAAATGGTATTCCCCTGAAGACAAAATGGGTATAAGAGTTTGTAGTGTAAGAAAAAAAATCAAAGAGGTCATTATTTTCAGCTGCTCAATTTCTCAACGATCTTGGAGAGAGCTGAGTATGACCCAATGACTGAAGATACTGTTCCTACTATGATGATTAAGATACACAGCATCATCTACAAAACCAACCAAAACAATGTCGATGAATCTAAAAACGCTATGAACAATGTTTGTAAGATACTAATACAGATACAGAATTGCTTAGAAGATTACCTGAGTCGGGGTAACTTTTTTCCGTACGATGCTCAAGAAACACACTGGTGGAAGTATTAGAGTCTGTACAAAACAAAAGATCAACTTATACATCCAAACTTAAGATCCTCCTTTGTTGTAAGAAAAACCAGAAAGGGGAAGGAAAAGACAGCTTACGACGAGCATTGTCAACAATGATCCAATCAAAGACATGACAAGACCTGCAAGATTATCGAGTATTCTCTCACTAATTTGCAAAAGAATGATTCTGAAGAAAATGAGCTTTAACATCAAAATGGTAGAGATGATCCTACCAAAGAAGGGAATTGCAAGACCGACAAGCAGAGTAGAGAAGACTAATGCTGTTCTAATGCCAATGGCATACCAATGTGACCTAATATGCCTTGATGGTATCAACTCCTCAAGACTCATTGCTACTGGAGATAAGGTCAAAGCATATGTGCTTTCTTTTATTAAGGGACACACACATATGATGAAATTTTAAACAGCTTATGGAAGACTAACAGTAAAGATCACTATTTCTAAATATTTCTTAGCAAAGGATATTTGGTAAATGGATTGACCACCTGCAAAATGGTTAAAACAAAACAGTTTTAGTTCCCATGAGATAGACATCATGCAATAAATAGTTGAAAGAACATATAATACTTACAGTAGTCCACACAGCAATCTTAGTTGCAACCAAATCTTGAGGCAAGTTGAGAGTAAACTGAGATTGTGTTGATTCTCCAAACATCGTATATCCCATAACAGCAACGCCGGCATACATCATAGTACAAATACAAAAACTGCATAATGTCATCAATCATCGTACATGTGTTAGAGAAGTTGAGGAAGGTGCATATAAATAAGGTGAAGTTCGCATAGGCGAAAGCAATCTAGAAAATGTAGAGATGAGAAGAGTTTGTAACAAACTTGTGAAAAGGGACATAAGCTTACCATGTCAAGAGAACAGAAGGGTATTGAGAAGGTTTGGCCATAGAAGTATAAATATTAGGGAAAACAGCATGTCCTGAGTAGCAGTAACCATAGAGCCCTATAGCTACAGGTAATGTTGACAAGTTCAGTGTAGTTCCTTTGCTGTGAATCCCAACTTCATCTACCAAACCAATCCAAAACAAACACAAAACCACTAGCACCGATGCAATCACCCCTCCAGCTGAGATATAACTCAGTATGCTGAGATCTCTGAGCCAAACGGTGCCTTGTCGGCTCTCTGTAAAATACTCGTTTGGACGAGGGCTCCCGAACACATCGTAAGCTAAACCGGTGCTGACGAATAACATAATGAAGACAAATTGTCACTCTCCAATATTATATATTCCACACAGCACGCCTGCAATATATATAAACAATCATGCGAAGTCTCCTGTGCTTCCAGCTCAATTCTATTGAAGTAAGTAACATCTTAGTTTTATGATACACCTTTTCACCTCTATGGAGCAACAAAAACAAAATTATGAAAAAAAACAAAGACCCTAAAAGCAGTTTACAGAGAAGTATACGTGAAAACAAAGTAACACCTAGACTAAAATGTCAGAAAATTCAATATTTAACTAATCATTTCACACTAGTAGCTTTTAAGTATATCATTAGTGACGTCAAAAGCAGCTTTAAGAAGGAAAAAACTGAGACAAAGAGAAAAGGTTAAAGCAGCTTCAGGTAGTGCCAAATCTAGAACTAGTGGCAGAATCTATGGGACCATATGCTAACGTGTTTCACAACATGGGGTCACTCACATACTTTAAAGATCTCTTCTGTTCTTTTTTCTAACACAAGTTGGGATCTCTTTTTATAAAAATTATTAGATTAAAGTCAATTGCTAGACGAATCCAAGAGAAGTACTTACGTATAGCTCCAAATAGAGTACAATCTGCAATGCCACAAAAAAAAAAAAAGGAACAATTAATATAAAATGATGAGATTTATTAGTAAGTCACATGATTCTACTATAGACTTGTGTGGATAGCAATCTAATTTACATCAACAATTGTGTGATAGTAATTATTTTCATAAGAATTCAGATAAAGCTTTTCACTTTTGAAACAAAAGTGGTAACTTTTTGTCCTTGGCCTTTGAGTTGTTCTATTTGTTTCACAGACCAAAAAGGCTCTTTTTGTGGGGATCTTGTATGTAATTCCTTGAGTTTTCTTTTTTTCTCAATATAGTCATTAACTTTAGCACCTTCACTATAGAGTAAGATTTTAAGGAAGATTGATCCCCTTACCGAGACAAAAATTCGTCCAGTAGTACCAAACGCAGCTTGGCCAATGTCGGGATAGGTCTCGAGGTCAGACTCGCTGTCGAGGCAGTAACGCAGGAGGATTCCGGTGTAGAAAGAAAGAAGACCATATATAAATAGTATCATTAGTCCCAACCATCCTCCTTCTTTGGCAGCATAAGGCGTTGAGAGTATTCCAACGCCACATAGAACGTTCAATCCTGCACCATGACCCACATGTTATATAACAATGTTCATAATTTTACTAAGAGCTAAAGATTTAAATTATGTTCTCTGAACCTAGACATGTTCTGTTCATGTGCTCCATGTGCTATATGACAATAGAGTTGATTGTTATTTTGTACTATTCTCTTAATTTATAAAGAACAAACGTCTTTAAACCCCGAAGAAGACGGTCTTGGTACCTCTCACACACATACACAATATCTAGGTTCCTAGACTGACGATCAAACATCAGAGAAAATGTTGACATAATTTCAATAATGATAATGGCACAATTGCAATCAATCATTGCATCTCTATAGTTACGAAAAAAGCTACTTCCGTGGTCACTACTCTCATCAAGACACTTTTAAACTACTTCTAGGAGGAGACACAATACATTGCTAAAGCATAAAGATTGAACTCACCATTTAGAACAGCTTGTCCGTATGAGCTATTGCGGGACATTGGAATCTCATGAGACACCATGGATGATTTCTCGTCCTTTCGCATCGAAGACCTCCTCGAAGGAATAGGAGAGAGCAAGCCATGAGAGCTAAGTCTGTGTTTCGGTGGTGCTTGCTCATCAGCTTGTGGTGATAACAAAGGTTTCGTAACAGCAGGTAACGATTCCGGAGTATGTCTTCTTATCAAAGAAGATGACAAGAACGAGCTTCCAAATCTCGTCATCGAATTGTTTCCAAGAAAACCGATACCAGGAGACGGTACACTACTGTAAAGATCAATAGACTGCCTACAAATATTACCAACAAGACAAAACAAACTCTTTAAAAGTGTGAAACTTTGTGTCCAAAAGCAGCAACCTCAATCAATAATGGACCAGTTTAAGCAGAGAAGAAACATAGAGAGAAGTCAAACACGAATAAGGATTAGTAAGAGATGAACCTGTAACTCTGAGGCCAGGCAGTGGTGTATGAGCTAGGCTTAGTATGAGCTTGGTTTTCATCATAAGCATCATCAGAGGAATCAGAATGGCTTCCTCTACCATCTTCTTCTGCGTAATCTTTCCTGTCGTCTTCGTCCTCACTCTCAATGTAAAAGCTTTGATCAGATGGTACGTGATTCATCTTTTTTTCTTTCTTCCTCCTCCTAATGAAAATCTGATATTGATGTCATCCAAATCAGAAAGACATGAAAACAAATCGAATACGAATGTAGATAATTCGGTTCAAGATCTAAACACCTCTAACGTCAAAAAAAGTCTCTGTTCTGTTTCTTGAAATGAATAAAAGAAATCGAAAAGCTAGCTTCAATGATTGAGTCCCAGCAGATCACAACAACAAAGAAACAAAACAAAACACGGGTGAGAAGATTGTCGGAACAAGAACACAGAATTGAGAATTGAGAGAATCTCGTTTAATATCTATTAAAATCATTGATGGTAGTGTGAAGTGATTCCGCAGAGGAGAGAAAAAAAAAGTCATTGAAGAAGGAAGAAAGTGAGAATTGTAGTTGGAGATAGACTTTGGTGTACCTGAAAGATTTTGGCAGTGGGATTCAATAAAATGATGATGGGCTTCAGATCAGAATCGCTGGAGAGACCAAAAGAGAGCTCTTCTCTGATATATATAGAGAGAGAGAGAGAGATAGATGAGATGAGAGTGGAAGAGAGAGCGGCTTTTTCTCTCTGTTGTGTCAATTATAAAAAAATAATAGAATAAAAACTCTTACAAGGTATTCAAATTAAATACTCCTTTTTTAAGGGTAACAAAAAGGGTAACTTGTTTTATTATTTGTATTAATCAATTTTGCTTAACTTATTTAAATTACTAATCATTATACTGTACACTGTTTAGTAGTATATTATTAATTATTGCGGTAATTAATTGTTGTGATAGTTTTGGAAAAAAAAAATTACAAAGATTTTCTGTGACTTAATTTAAATATTTAAACTATGAAATTTAGTTTAGCAGAGATGGAAAAACATATTTCCATTTATAAATATAAATTTTGGTCAAAATCAATGTGGGAGTCTGATTTTGTTTAAAATGGAAACTACAAAATAGGTATCTCTTTTTTTTTTCTTAACGAAATAAGGGTCATATGAGCGATATGTGATTTATGTTTTTCTTTATACTTAAACTTATACGTGGTTTTGTATGTATCATAATTGTTATATTTGCAAATGGTGAGTTAGATATTTACCATTTTGTTGTCTTACAAAAAACAAGGCGTTGTAAGTAATGCTCAAGTGGAATAAAAGACAAGAACACACGGTTTAGGACAACAAGAAGGTGACTAGATGACGACGAGTTTGCAAAACACAAGTGGTAAGCCGTGAAAAATGTGATTGGTGTAGAATGGAGATTATTAAGCTGGCTCAGCTTGATACTGATTTTTCTTTTATTTATGTCAGTTTTAAAATCTTATAATTCGATGTCAGTTTTGAAAATGTCACTAATTTACACACACAGGTGAGTCATTGGCATGATGGAGGAGTCGTTTATATTATCTCGAAATAGTATAAAATTATGAATTGGTTATATAGTTTTCTTAATTTTTGGTAGGCAAACCATATCTTGCTCATGGTGATAATTTAATTTATTCATTGCAAGTTTGGAACACCTCAGCCCTTTCGATCGATAGTGGGATCCTCAAAGTCTCATTTTAAAATATAATAATTTTCATGAAACAACAGACTCAGAATCTATTCATATAGTTTCCCAAAAGAAACTAACCAAAAAAAAAGCCTTTTACACGTTTTAATTTTGAAATAGATATAGCAAAAGAAACCAAAAATAAATTTAGAAAGTGTCATAAAAACACACTAAAAAAGGTTTTTTAAAAACATGGGAATGAGATTTCTCTTGTTATGATCGTTTTAACTTTAAGAGCTTGAATAGAGAAAAATGGATCATCTCTACAAGTTGTTACGTGCATGTGCGCTCTATATATTGAGTTGCAACGTGTGACGGATGGTACGTGTAACGAATTACATCTTAAAGGAGTTTGATTTATATCTTCAAAGTTATTAAAAAATATCTACCAAATTTGATCAGAGAAGAAGTCATATAACCTAAATAGATCAATACTCCCGTAAACGATGAATGTTTTGTTAAAAAATGAAAGAAGTAAAATACGATAATATAAAAAAAAAAAAGTTTAAACAGATAAGAACACATGATTCATTGAACACGATATTTTAGATCAAGATTGATATGTTCACTGTCGCACTCTGCAAAATGAAATAATGATATTGATGTGATGAAAATCCCAATCGCAAGAACCACAATCACATGATGTGTAGATTAGATCTATCATCTATATTGTTTGTTCGTTTTGGACTTTTCTTCTGAAATGATAAATCAAGAGCATGTGCGTATTTGATCTCTCTCTCTTTGTTGATTCTCCGCATCAAAAATATATACTCCATCCCCACATGTTTCACATCATTCTTTATTAATCGTTGTTTTTAATTTCCAAAAGTGTATATTCAATTACAAAGGAGAGGAAAATATCGTCCTCACAAACATTTGTCATTAATCATATTACATACACCACTTAAGCATTGCCAAAATTGATGTCACAATGAAGGTTTTAGACGACAGCTCAACAACAATGGTACTATTGCACATCAATCATATTGGTTCAATGTTTTTTTTTCGTGTGTGATGAATTATATCTGTTTATACGTCTGCGTTCATCATATAATTTGCAAGCAACCATGTCACATATGTGTCCATGTTATGCAAGGGATGATAAATTGTTCGTGAAATAAATTTCGAATGGCCATGTTTATGTACATAACTACAAATCGTGCAAAGCCGTGCGAAGGTGGGTAGATTTGGAGACAAGGTTAGGTTTACATATGGAGATTTAACACATAATGCTTCAACTACGTACGCACTTTATACTATATACGTTGAGATTTCATATCAAACACATCAAATAAGTATATAAGAAAAACAAGATGAAAAATATGTTTTAAGGTTTGTATGTTTACATATTTCACTCTATATCCAGGTTTTGTATAGCCAAAAACATTTTATTCTAATACTTACTCTTGTTTTCATGTTTATCATATACAATATAGAATCTCGTTTGCTCGACCAACATTGTATATGTCTTGTAAATATTCTTTAAAATTCAAATTTATATTTCTAATGTCAACAAATACATTATCATCTTGTTTTTTTTTTTTTCATTCGAAATACAACATTCGACTTTTCCTTAAATCATGACCACTAAAAATTAGTTTTAATATTTATACTTTTCGAATTTAATTTTTAGTTTTTAGTCTTAACAATTTATTTCATTTAAAAAAAAAAATATGGTCTATTTTGTTAATTTTGGTTAATAGAACCTATTTTCTTAAAAAACCCCAAAAAGAAACAGAACAATATCCGAATACATCAGATAAACCCAAACCCCATCGGAAAAACCCATACACCGTTCTCTCTCTCTCACTCCCATCGGCCGGCGATAATGGCGTCGATGGCGACATCATCGCCGATTTCATTCGCTGCTTCATTCTTCAAAATCAAAGCTTTCCCTCTCTCTCCTCGCTTCTTCCCCATCCGCACACTCCGTTGCTCTGTCTCCTCCTCCTCTGAGCCACTCGAATTCGACATCTCCTTCGCTCCTCCCAAACCAAAACCTGCCTCCACTCGCGGCGGCGTCTCTCCACAGCAGCTCTTCATCCCTTGGATCGTCCGTGGTGATGACGGCACACTCAAACTCCAATCTCAGCCTCCCGCTCGTTTAATCCACTCCCTCGCCATCGATGCCACTACCCAGAACCCAAAGAAGAAAGAAAAATCTAAGAAGAAACAAACCCAAGCTACCTCCTCCTCCGCCACCGCCTCCTCCTCCGCCTCAGCCTCATCTCCACCTCCACAATCAGTGCCGAAGCTCTCCAAAGCTGCCCGTAGGTTTTACAATGAGAATTTCAAAGAACCTCCTCAACGTTTAAGCAAAGTTCTCGCTGCTGCTGGAGGTAACAACCAAACCAAATCCTCTTATCTCCATTATTTGAATTTTGGGAATTTTCTCTAATGGTATAGATTTTGATATAGTGGCATCAAGAAGAACCTCTGAAGAACTTATCTTTGATGGAAAAGTTACTGTTAATGGTATTCTCTGCAACACTCCACAGGTTAAAAATACTTCTCACTGTTGGAATCAAAATTGATGTTTTTCCATATTTTGATTCAAAATGAAGCTTAGCAGTATTGTTTATGCAGACTCGAGTTGATCCATCAAGAGACATTATTTATGTTAATGGAAATCGTATTCCTAAGAAACTTCCTCCAAAGGTTTATTTTGCCCTGAACAAGCCTAAAGGGTTAGTCTTTTCATAGCCTATTCTCACTTGTAGCTTCACAGACTTGTAAGCTTTATATGATATTTGCATCATACCAATGGCAGGTACATTTGCTCTTCTGGAGAGAAAGAGGTCAAATCTGTTATTAGTTTGTTTGACGAGTACATGGCCTCTTGGGTAAGATATTTTATTTTCCTGTTCATGAATTGTCTGATTCACCATCTAAATGAGCCTTTTAAAGTATGTTAGATTAGAAAACTTGGTTTAAAAATATTGTCTTCGAAATGTAGGATAAAAGGAATCCAGGGACTCCCAAACCTCGCCTTTTTACCGTTGGTCGTCTTGACGTTGCCACAACAGGATTAATAATAGTTACAAATGATGGTAATTGTATTCACTCAGCTGCGTGGGCTAAATATCTTAGTTTTACATTTTTTGTCAGGAAACTACAGTATGTCTTTCTTCTGTTCTTCTAAAAGGAATTTAAACTTCTTGTTATACAGGAGATTTCGCTCAACAACTTTCACATCCTTCATCTAGTTTACCGAAAGAGTGAGTTCACATATTCATTGAACATACCTCCATTACTCATGATTAGGCGATCGTTAACTGGTATGAAGAACCTTTGGTTGAGTAACAATGATGAAAAGACTAGTTCATGCCAAATACTTCTTAATGAATATAATTCAGATACATGTTCATTGCAGAGTTATTTTTTGAGCTTTAGATGCTGGTCATAGTCACCAGTTCCAGATATTGTGGTTTTAGGCTTTGAGCCTCATTGTATCAATTCAAGCACTTACTCTTTCTCTGAATATTTATGTTCCTTCTAAATAGTTCAAGGGTTTTGTGTGAAATGGCAGATATATTACTACTGTTGTCGGTGATATACACAAACGGCACTTAATGGCTATCAGCGAAGGAACAATCGTGGAAGGAGTCCACTGTGTTCCAGATTTAGTTGAGTTGATGCCAAAGCAGCATGACATACCAAGAGCACGGCTGCGTATTGTGGTACATTGCCAAATCTTTCGCAGATTTTAAGTTCTCCATTGTTGTAGTCTGATGTTGTTTGCTGGTAATGATTATCTTGTGGAAATTTAACTTCTTTTGTGTGGCCATGTGCAGGTTCACGAAGGGAGAAACCATGAAGTCAGGGAATTGGTGAAAAATGCTGGGCTTGTGGTCAGCTTTCTTCTTATGCATAAAAATTTTCTCCTTGATAATCTTGGATTTACATTTTTCTCAAATAGTAATAAGAGCTCCATAAGAGTCTGAAAAACATTGAGCTAATACCTTTCAATACCCCATTCCTTGTGAACATACTCATTTGTGAACGAATGTTGGAATTACAGACTTTGTAATTATGAGAACTAATGATTATGGTCACTCACTGATAGAGATGTCCAAATCGTTTCACTTTATGCCTTTCAATATACTTCTCTCAGGTGATATCTAAACCGGTAGTAATTGTTTTGCCTTTACTTGTTCCAGGTTCATTCATTGAAGCGTGTTCGTATAGGTGGATTCAGACTTCCTTCAGATCTTGGGTAACGTTATCTTGCATTAAGTCTTCACCTTTGTTTATGTTCTTTTTTTTTGTAGATTCGTATCCGTTTGATGATTTTACTTGACTGTTGTTTGAGTTATTTGATTACTCATTTCCTATCTATCAGCTAGTATCATTAGACCAAATAAAATCAGATCTATCTATTGCTACAATTCATATGTTAATCACATCACACAGGCTAGGGAAGCATGCAGAATTGAAGCAGAGTGAGCTAAAGGTATTGGGTTGGAAGAGGTAGAAGATGTGGAAATCTGCCTTGCCCCTCATCAAAAAGGATCACTGAATACATTTGCCCACAATATATACAGATTCATTGATAAGCCAATCTTTTTGTAAAGATAAAGGTTTAGTATGATCCTTTACAATGACGACTACAACTGAACTCATCTTTAAAGGGATGCCTAGGCTAAAAGTTAACGGTAGTAGAATGTTCATATCGTCTTATTTAATATTTATATGTTTGTTGTTCAAATTATTTTTATCTATATAATCAAACCAAAGAAAATTCGGTTAATGTGGATTGTCTTTTTTTTGGAAAGAAAGAAAAAAAGAATAATTTGTGTTGTTGTGTGGTCTACTTTGCATATCCTTGAGAGTTGAGAGAACATGTAAAATCTTTGGTTTGAAGTTTCCTTAATTGCTTCATCATGTAATCAGATGAGCACTATCGTCGTCAGCTTGCTCAAGATCTTAGCATTTGAGATGTTTTTTTTTTTTTTTCAATAATAAATCGACAAAGTTTTTCCGGCTTAGCATGTCTCTACGTGTTTAAATTCTTTTGACTCTCTGCTGAATTTGAATTAGTATAAATGATCAGATTAATTTAATGGGTTTACTAATTAGTTTAATAGGTTTTTGGCCAAAAAAAAAAGTATCAATTAAAGTCGACATACCACATAACAGTTCATTGATGCAAGATTTCGTAGGATCAATGTCGATGATCTAAAACCATCAGAGATGACAATACCTAAAAATGTGAACGTCGTAGGAAAATATAGTGTATATAGATAAAATAAAAAATCTACTGTTAGACACGACATATATTCTCCCGCGGTAATGATGTTAATGGCATGGAACACCACAAATCGGGAGGATGGAGTAGTTGTTAATAACAAGAATTATATATTTACTTAAATAATTATGGTACAACATAACATCATTAATAACAAGGATTATATATTACTTAAAAAATTAATAATAATGAAAAAAATAATGATTAAAACATATTCACCATATTCAATATTCGAAAAATATGTATATGAATTCCAAATCAAACGAACCAAAACAAAGATAAACTGAATAGAGTATTTATCTACAAGACATATGCAAACCAAAACAAAAACGGTACAAAACCATATATTATAGATTAAAGTTTTAGTTTGGATGTCTTTATTCATTTGAAAAAAAACTGAAATACATCAAAACCAAACTAAAACACCATCTGTACATGTAAGACTTAGATATTTCAGAATATATTATTTTGAACTGTTAAAAAAACAAGTTATCTTCAACTAACAACAACAATGTAAGGCAACCTTTTTCTTTTTTCTTATAAGAGAGAATTTGTACATTTTTCTTTAAGGTTGCTCAACTCATTATTTGTAGAAATTTCTGCAAAAGGGAAAATCATTTTTAGATAGAGTTAAGATATATTGGATCATCGATTAAATATTCCACAAGATATTTTATTAACATATTTACATCTCTTTTTCTTTTATTACCTAATAATATATTTATTCCACAATGAAGGTTTAATGCTTATACTGTATAACTATATTTTACAGTAAACACTTTGGTTTTATTGCATATTAATAAATAATAAGAATGTAATGAAAGGTAAACTCAAAATTTTAACCCCTTTCAGTGAGATAAGGTGAATAATTTACATAAATAAGCAGTCTCTCGTAACCACAACGACATTAATTATAAAAAGCCTAAATTCTCTAAGCAACACGTCCACCAACATCCACATTCCCATCCATATCTCCAAGTCTAAACCATGCCTTGAGACTTGCTTCTTTACCTGCCTTGAACTCCTCAAACTTTGCTGTCTCCACAATATGTTCACCTTTCTCTGAGACTTCTTCTTCTTTGTCTTTTAACTCATTGCTTTCCACATCTTTCTGTTCTTTGAAATTAAGCTGTGGCCATTTCATGTTGCATGCTTTCTCCTTAGCCGTCTTGAACACTGATGTGAATAAGTTGTTGCTTTCACTATTATCCTGGCTGAAATCAGAACCACACGTTGTTGTTGTAATACTCTGCTTCAAGAGTTTGTGGAGCTGAGGATGATCCCTCTCCTCGGTTGTTTAGAAGACATTATCGATAGAGAGTTCTTGATGTATCCTATCATGTCACCAGCAATAGGTGAACCACACTCTTTGATTGATTTCACCATGGCTATAGAATCTTCCAAGTCTTGGGTATGCAAGCCTGTTTCACGGGACTTTTCCAAAATGTTGCTGCGTTTCGGACGTGCTGTTGGATGTAGTAAAGCCCTACTGAGGGTTCGTTTGCTATGTACTTTATCATATTCTTTAGTGGAAAATATACAAAAGGATAATTTCTTTATCAAATTGTTATTCTTTGTTTTTTTTTTTTTTTGTCTTCTAACAAAATGTTATTCACCCATTCAATAAACGATTAGTTTTGGGGTTTTAGTTTGATTTTTTTTTTAACAATTTTTTTTTTTGTCTTCTAACGAATTGATTTAGTTGATACTTTTGGTTCGAGTAATTTGTTAGAAAATTTATTTGTTGGGAAGAAAGTAGAAAAAAAAAATATTCTTCTTTTGTTTAGTAGTTTATTTGTTTTTGTCTTATGTCAATATATGTTTTGATAGACATTTTTTGTTTAGAACATTGGAGGAAAATATAATTAAGAAGACATTGTTTGGTTTGAACAATGGTGGAAAATATAATAATATCGAAAAATAATTAGTTAAAATATATTGGTATGAAAATATATGATATGTATCTATTTATAATTTTAATTTTGATTATTGAGTTATATGAAATAGTATATAACCATGATGGAACTTGGCACTTGCATCTTTAAAACGTATTGTTGTGTCTGTTGATTTATTCTATGCTAAAGTGAATTTGATAGATTGTCTTGGGAATCCAATTAGGGCACAAAAAAACGAAAAAAAAATGTCTAGATACGTGTGGGAGAAAGAAGTCACCATCTATGGTGTCTACTGCTCCAGGGTTTTGGAGAAACCTATAGAGTGGAACCGGAGAGTCGATTTCGTACCTAATCCAGGACCATGGCAGAGGAATCACGAGAAGCTGCCTTCTGCACCAGAAGAACCTTTCTACACCCACAATTTCCCCCCGCTTGTGACTGGCCCATCTGTAGACCCACCAGCTCGGGGTCCCTTTGGATGCATACCGCTCTACGGTAGACTTGGACTTCATTGCTACAATCTTCAAAAGGTTAGACAAAAAAAAACAAGAAACCATCTTCTTCCATCTACTATTTTTTTTGGTTTTTGTATATAGCATACCAATTATGTAATATCTAGTGGTTTAGTATTAACTGTGAACTTTGCTTCTTTTGATCTTGTAATATGTAGGGGACAAACTTGCAATTTATGGCTCTAGTCAAGTATTACTCAAGGATAACCTCGATATCTTCTCATCTAGTGACATTAGAGGCACTCGATCCAAGACGCAATTCCTTGTGCGAGTTCAAAACTGATGTCAGGCATGCCATTGAGCATAGAGATTGTTTGAGTGCAATTATAACCTGCTGCAGATTAACGTCTCAAACTCCTCCAGGTTAAATTGACCAGGGCTCACCTTTTTCTTGTTTTTAGTTTTCCATCTTTTTCGATGTAACTCATCTTTTTATTTGGTCTTGTCTAATTGTATCAGTGGAGGAATCCAGCTCTTCTTATTGCTTTGACAAACTTGCCGTGGATCATTTCTTCCGAGGTGCTATGCCCGAATGGATGCCCGAGGGTGCGCTTACGGAAACTGAGAAGCTGGAATGCTATGAGGTGAGCCTTTTTAGTAGCTCTTGAAAATATTCAGAAAAGACCCAATTTGATGAAAAAAAAGATTGTGATGTTGTTGACACAATTTGCAGATGAAAGAATCCGAGGTGGAAGAAGACAAGGAATGGCTTCATCTATACGCGGAACTCGCATTGTTTTCCAAGTGGAAATCTAAGCTGGTGAGGAGGATAAAAACTACTTGACGCTAAACAATGTGAAGGAGAATTTTGTCTAGGAGCTGTTTTGATCTCTTGCTTTGTCTTGTTGTATTGCAGGAAGATCTCGAATCTGCAAAGCCATTTGAGCTGAGGAAGATCATTGTAAGAACCAAAGAAGATGTGAAGCCGAAGAACAAGGTCAAGGCGGATAACGCAATCTTCTACATTAGCTTCAAAACTTGTTGCGGTCAAGAATGCAATGCTATCATAAGGAAAACAACAGACGGAATGCCAGAGAATTTGTCGCTTGAAGTCAAGTGTTTCATGTGAGACTCGTCTCATTATATGTCTAACGTTTCTCCTAAAGTTTTCATTAAAGTGTTTTCTAAACGACTTTTTTAGTGGTATTGGAATCGAGCTTTAGTCATAACTTATAACAATCAATCCTATGACTTCCTCACTCTCTTTGGAAGACAAACCTATCTCTTACTAATACTAATTCTCCCTCTCTCGTTCTCCTTTGATACGGCTCATCACTCTCTGCGTCTCCGATTCTCTCTCTCTCTGCTCCTCTGTCTTAGAGAGAAACAGAGTCGGTGACTTGTCACTTACTCAACATGAGACCTTTAGTATCACTTAGAGAGTTTGTTTAAAGCAGAGTCCGTGTACTAGGAAGGTTTAACAAACCCTCTTAACTTGTCACATAATCAAATTTGAGAAGTGAGACCTTCAGAATCAGTTAAGAGAGTTTATAAACACTTTGGCGCTAACCATACTCAAACCTGCTGTAAACCGATGCCTTCTCATCCTTTTTCAAGCTCTAGTTCAGATCACTTCAAGATTGAATCATCAACCAACAATCCCAACCTTTATACTACAGCTTGAATGACTTGATGTGAGTTTTCTTAAACCCTTGTTAAACCTCAGCCATTACTCATATTGTTAAACATACTAATCACATTAGTACATTTAACACCTTAAACATAATGAATCATCAGTGAAACCATTGAGAGCTCCAGATGCGGGGTTCACCTCTGCATTATTTTGCTAACAACAATCCTCAACCTCTTTCTTGGAGTTACAAATCCATCTCCAACACATCCTAGTGTCAAACTCAAACTCCAGAGATTCCTTATCTCCTTCATAGCATGATGTACTACTGATAAGATCATCAACAAGTAAAATACCTTGATTCAAGCACCTTATTCAAACAAAACTTTACCAACAGCTTTAACCTCACTGCTGCTACATCTTAACTAATCTCATATCATCTGACCTATGATGATCCTCCTAAGCCTTCAACAGCTCGTATCCCGCCTAGAACTTCAGATTGCAACCTTAGATGCACATTAATCACTTTATTACCTTTATCGGCATTAGGATTTCACCAACCAACTTGGTTCCTGCATCATTGAACCTTCGACTTGACACTAGACCCTCTCCTTACCAATTTTCCCTCCATAATGTCTCTGATGAACTGTCTCTCCTCGCCTTGATAATCCAATACAACACTAATAATAATAGTTCAACACTGTAAAACACAATATTATTATTTTTAAAGATTTTATGAGTAGAACAATATTTTACTGAAAACTCTTTGGTTTTGAATCATGTGATGGACAGATTAATAAGATTGTAATGAAAGGTAAAGTCAAAATTAACTCTTTTCTGTGATAATGAAGTGAGTAATTTACATGAATAAACTGTCTTTCGTAACCATAACGACATTAAAACCTAAATTCTCTCACCAACACGTCCACCATCATCCACATTCCCATCCATATCTCCAAGCCATGCCTTGAGACTCGCTTCTTTACCTGCCTTGAACTCCTCAAACTTTGTCGTCTCCACAATATGTTCACCTTTCCCTGAGACTTCTTCTTCTTCTTCTTCTTTTAACTCATTGCTTTCCACATTGGGGTTAGATTCCGCCTTCTGTTCTTTGAAATCAAGCTGTGGCCATTTGATGTTGCCTGCTTTCTCCTTAGCCGTCTTGAACACTGATGTGAATAAGTTGCTGCTTTCACTATTATCCTGGCTGAAATCAGAACCACGGGTTGTTGTTGTAATACTGTTAGATCTGCTCCAAGAGCTTGTGGAGCTGAGGATGACCCCTCTCCTCGGTTGTTTAGAAGACATTATGGATAGAGAGTTCTTGATGTCTCCAATCATGTCATCAGCAATAGGTGAACCACACTCTTTCATTGATTTCACCATGGCTATAGAATCTTCCAAGTCTTCGGTATGCAAGCCTGTTTCACGGGACTTGTCCAAAACGTTGCTGTTGAGATTAAGAACATTCGGTGCTGCGTTTCGGACGTGCTGTTGAATGTAGTAAAGCCCCACTGAGGGTTCGTTTGCTATGTACTTTATCATCTCGGCTAAGCTCTCGTTTATCTCGGCAAAACCATCAACAGTAGAGAACTCATGCATTCTGTATTACAAAAAGAAAAAGACATCATCCCCAAACATTTTAGCACCCGGTCAACTCAAAAGAATGAAAACAGACAATACAACGAACTCAAGCTATTTCGTTAACTCATTCTTCTTGATGTGTCTAGATGATGTATCAAAGCAGCAGTAGATGTTAGTGTTACCAAGCAGAATGATATCACTATTGTCGAAAGAGAGGTTTGAGAAGCTTAAAAGGAATCAGATGCAAACTAAGATTCACAAGCAATCCAATAGAAGCTAAGATTAACAAAAGAGAGCCTTAAAATGATTTGAGGACTAATAAATCAACAACTAACGCAAAAAACAGAACCATGTACAATCACTTTGACTACACTCATCATCAGTACCATTCTAGATAACATCTTAACCTTCACAAAACAACTCTAAGCAACATCACATTAGCAAACGCCCAAATTTACAAGCTATGTCTCTAAATAAGAAGAAGAATTGAAACAAAAAGCTACAATAATTAAAACCCAGATGGAAAAATTGATTCAATTGAAGAGAAAATTGAGAAAGAAAGAGCTTACAGGAAACCCTAGATGACGACGGAGCAGAGACAAAAGAAGCGAAATCGGTGGCAATCTTCGATAATAAATAAGGAATTGGAATCAGCGTGTCTCTCCTGATGTGTTACTCCTATCATTTGATCACGGGTTTCCCCAAAACAATACAAAAAAAAAAGTCTCAGCTTCACGGTGAAGTGCAGACAAAAATTGGTGCATAAGGAAGAAGACGACGATTTTAATCCCCAAAAATTGAAAGGTCCACGTTCTCTCTCCACGTCATCTTTCGCACGTGTCTGCCTCTTACCTCGCACGTTTGGATGCTGATTCGTTTGTGAGAAAAGAAAGACAACACGAGTTAATAAACTTAACTTTACTTTGGTCGGAATCGTATGTAAATGTGTTTTTAAAACATCAAACAAGTCCTCCAATTACTATATGATTACAATATCACTTTTTATCTTTGGGATTTATGTCTTTTAACCCACCCCTTCATGTATAATCTAAGAGATTAATTAGGCTCTTTAACCAAAATAGGAAAATGGAAAATCAGTTACGATTCGAGTTTTAAACCCATGTGATCTGATAATCAAACATAACGAGAGGTCACACTTTCTCGCTTATATCCCTGCAAATCATTAGATTGAGGCTTGCAAATCATTAACACTTTCTCTACATGTTAAAATCTAAGAACATTAATAAATATAAAAACATCTTTAAGAAATTCACATGAAGTACTGTTACTTCTAAAGATTGTGTGATGTTACCAAACGTAATCCGAGCAATAACCATTCATAAGAACCTTAGGTTGAAGTCGTTAATTTACTGAGCTTTTCTAACGTAACGTCTATGTTGTTTTACACACTAGAAACTGTTTTGATATCACGAAGACTACATATTTGCATTGCAAGACACGAATTACCCATTTTTAGTACTCATTTGTTACTTGTAAGTGATATATTTTGCATAAGAAAACATTGTCTTTGTTAACTCAAAAAGAGAGTCGCATTATAAAGGTTAGACAGAAACGAATGCTGAATAAACAAACACAGAAGAATATTTAAATTTTGAATAGTCATGGGTTGTCGACAATATATGTTAAAATATAAATGGTGATGGCCTCATGGGCCAACAAAAAGGTCAAAGGGGTCAAGTAAGCTAAAGCCTGAGCTAGGTAGGGTCCTAAAAATCGAATTTCAACTATTTCGTCTACTCTTGTTTTTCAATAATCTGGAGATGAATAATTTATACTTAACCTGCTCAAGTGCTCTGACCATTAGACAACCCTCCTACGTTTATATCTCTATTGGCTAGACGTGTTCAACCCACGTGTTGTGATGGTTAATTAATGGTTCTAGTTAACTAAAGAAGTTTAACTCTCATTATAATTTACTCGGACAAAGTTTGAATTCTGTATGAAGTTTTGTTATATCTACTAATACACATACATATATGAAGTTTGAATTCTACAGATGGTATATGAATTTTTTGTTTCGAAACATGAATTATGTTTTCCTAAACAACGTATCAAGCTGGAGAAGATCAGGATTCAAAATGTCAAAAGAAATGTCGGAAAAGAAAAACTTAGGATATCCTATAAACTCGACATGTTAAGAAGAGATGCTTGCAAGCTCCTGAAAAAAAAAATCGATCAACTAGCTATAGAAGTAATGTTTAGTTTGAAAAAATAATGATTTTGATGGGAAAAAATTTAACCAAGTTTGAACTAAGTTTGGATTTTCAATTTAATCTCAAAAACAACACCATTTTAAGACTTGAAAAGTTATATATAACAGAAATAGAAAGTGTGGATTGATAAGTTGGCACCAAAAGATTAATTAACGGCATCATACGTTTGTAGACATTCGAATCCATGTCTGTACCAGGACCACCAAACTATACACATACTGTAACATCTAAACAATCGTCACGGATGAATATAGCCTACCATATATATATACACTTCCCATGCTCCTGTGCTGATCTTTAAAACATTGTAATTTCTTTCTTCAAAATATTAAAGTCCTACGTACCATTTAGGTTGATTATAATATGCGTGTGTATTCCAAGAGGGCTATAATTTTTATTTCTTTGTGAATTGTGATCTGAATACGGTTAATGTGTTTACTATATATAACAAACATACTAATAATACGCCACCATTCACATATGTAGCCCTTAAATCAAATAGTTGTAGATTTTTTTTTTTTTTTTTGTGAACCAGTTGTAGTTGTTTAAGGTTAATTAATAATTATTGAAAGGAAGAAGAAAAAAAAATGAAGAAGAACATTGTGTGTGGTACGTATAAATATCTGATGTAATTAATCCCCAAGTCCTTTAGAGTGATGTCCACACTAGGACTTGACTTGTAACATGGATGCAATTTATATGCTAAAACCAAAATATTTGAGAAAAAAATAGATTCACATAATACACCCGATGCAGATGGTCCACAAAAACTTACC